GATTCTGTAGATTCTTGGCTCCGCAATAGGTATTTGTCTCCGGTGCTGGTCACTCCTATGGGTGACCATTCAGCCTCGTCTTTCGTTTTTGCATCCAATGGGCCACGCTAGGCTCACTTGTCATTCCAACGCCGATTGCAATCCCAAAATGAATGAATGCCGTTGGTTCCTCAGCTCGAGAACAAACTTTTCTACATCGCATTCTTCTATTTCAATAGCATTCTTCTGCAGTGCACCACTGATCCATGTTGTGGTCTCATCCGATACACTACTAGTAGCTTCAAAGTGCTTTTCTTGTTGTACTGTAGGTACGTAGTACATAGGTAGGGTCGTATGTTGAATCGTAGACTGGTATCCCCTCTCCTGTTTTGCAGTTTGCAGTAAGTGTACGGTACTCTCGATCCTCTCGATTCCGGTGCCGTTCGGTACTCATACTCGTTCTGTCCGTCGTAAGGCATGGCGCCTGTGAATACGTCCCGAACGCACTTTTTTGGCGCGAATCTCTACTTGCACGTCGCGCCAAATTGAAGCATCCCAATTCCTGATAGTACGTATCTACCAGTACTGAATCTTCCGTACCTTTTTTATTTTACTTGGAATACTTCACGCCACAGAAGTGTTTTGTGTCGTATCGTAGAAACCATAGGAGATGCAACGTAACGTAACGTAGCGTAGGTCTTCACCTTTGGTTGTCATAGGGATACGAGTGCTATTACGAGCACGGGTACACTCGTATCCGTGCCGTACAATACTCGCGCCGGAACGACTGAACGTACCGTACGGTATTGTACTCGGCTTCACAACCAGGCTTGTTTAATTCTACCGTACGGTACGTAACGGTAAGTACCGATACTGGAGTCGAAAAGCGGAACACGCCGTACCGTAGTACTGGTACTTTACTCGCGGCATGCCTCGCCGTACCGTAGCACATCTCCACCATCGCCGCCATTGTTATATTATCGCCATCGCTCTTGCCATTCGGTGTTGCGGTGCAGCGGGAGAGAAAGAAGAAGAGCAAGAAGGAGACGATCGACTGCCGCAACCGAACCACTGCGCACCGAGCCAACACAACACCCACCACAATGGAGTGTGTTCCGGACCATCGCCGTTTCCGTGCCTCGCATCCCTGGCCCTCTCCGTTCGGATTGGGAGCCTCCTCCCCCGCATTCCAACCGGACCGCAGCAGCGCCCGGGGGACACCGCGCGCCGGTTCGGCAAAGCGCCAGAGGGGCTGGGAGCTTGACCACCCGCGGCACGAGCGAGTGGAAGAACCGGGGCATTGTCCACCGGAACACCACGTCATTCTTTCGTCTTCCCAGGAGGAGGAGGAGGAGCACGACGAATCCCCGATGCACCGCGGAGACGATGACTTCTTCTATGGCGAGTTCCGACCCAGCGCCGGCAAGCGACAACGCTTGGCCCCGCCCCCCGGCGAGATCGCCGACGTCCCGCCCAGAAGCAGCGATGCGGATTTGTTCTCCCCGGAAGAACCGCGGCTCGTCCCGATGGAAGATTGGTTTCCGGTTTCGGGAGAAGCCTTTGGAGACACCGGCGCAAGCGAGCGCTTCGAGAGCGAGCACGAATGCGAGCACGAGCACTCGGAGTGGTGGAAGAACCGCCCCCCCCCTGCAGGCCCCGACTCTTCGGTCTCCCGGCGGTGCGTCGTGGAGCAGGAGGCCCGGGCTTCCGGAACAAGGGGGCTTTCCCCCGGGGGCACCACCGAGGCCTCCTGCCACGTCTGCCACAGGGCCTTCCGGCTGCCCCCCCCGGCCCCTTTGGCGAGCGTCATGCCCGCGAACGCCCTCCTGAACTACTTTGCCCCCCTCCGCCCGCAGAAGGGCCGCGACGYTCCCATGGCCAAGGGGGCCCCCCTTCCGGCCTCCAAGGGGATCTGCGCCTGCTGCGACCGGCCGGTCTGCAAGGGGTGCCGCAAGCGGTGCGGGGCCTGCGCCAAGCACTTTTGCTCCTTTTGCACCATCACCGTGGGCGAGCACGAGGGAGAGGTCCCCGGGACCTTTTGCCTGGACTGCTGCTAGTYCCCGCCGCGGGGATTTTCGGGAGTGTTGGGCGGTTGTGGGTTGCTCCGTCGAGCGAACCCAAATACAATACATTGTGCATGGGGAGTAGAAGTTAAAAATGTAATCTAATGTTGTTTGTTTCAAAAAGTGTATCGCTGCACCGATTCAATGCAAATGCAAATGCAAATGCCCTCGAATTAAACTGGTGCCTCTGTTGCAATCTATAGTCTCTTGCTGCTGTTCCTGCTGCTGTTCTTGCTGTAGACCCCCCCGACCAGCAAAACGAAACCCACAAGCCCCGTTCGGTGCATCGCATCTAGACACTCACCGAGTTGTTCATGGCGTGCAGGATGGTGTCCGTGTCGACAGAGCTGCCAAAGACAAAGGAAAACAGCTCGTCGCTTTCTTCTGCCCCACCMGACCCGTGAGGRTTGTGCTTCTTCTCCGCGTGGTCCTCGAATATGCTCAGGAACAGGTCTGCCTCTTCCATGTCGCTGTCGTCCATCGTCACCGTGTTGAGGCTCGTGTTCAGGTCGAGGGCTACGGCGGGATCGAGGTCATCGCTACAGCTTCCGCTCGGAACCGGCAGATCGGTGCGGGGAAGGACACCGGCACCGCCGTCCGCCACGGAATCGTCCCCGTCGTCCCCTTCCAGCAGCCACTCGATCGGACAGAGGGGCAAGAGGTGATGCCGGGGGTCGTACCCCACTGGACAGGCATCCCAGGCTTGGCCGGGGCGACCGCCGGCTGGTGCCGTGTGGACGGGGGARACSGTGCGGGCCACGGTCTGTTTCTGCCTCGGTTTCCCTTTCGGTTTTCGCTTGTTTTGTTTCGCACCGCCGGGGGAGGACTTGGATACCGTTTTCCGGACCACCAACCCGAGGAGGTGCCTCCGGTCTTTCTGGAAAAACGGGTGCTGCCAGGTTTTCCCTCCAAAGCTCTTGTTGTTGATGTGTCGGGGTGAAAGGACCKCAAAGCCCCAGAAATTGAGCTGGCGGTCGAAGGACCGGAARTTGTGGTGCCCAAAGTGCGTCGGAAGGAACTCGGCGGCAAAGCGGGCGTGGTCGTGGACGCAAAAGGTGGTCCCGCCGGCCAGCCAAGAGACGACGCTGCCGGCAGAGCCGCCCTCCCCKGTGGCGTGTTCCATCAAATCAAAGAGCTTGTAGGGGAAGGTGTACGACTTGGAATGGATCTGCGCCTGGGTCAGCTTGGTCGGCATGGGAGAGGGATTCTCGGTGGTGGTKGCCTTTCGTCTCTGGACGGTTCKTGTCGTTCTGTTCTTCTTGCGGCTGCTTGCTGCTTCACCAGACGAGACAGAGTCCCCGTCATCGTCCGTGACAAAGGATTCACCGGAGCCATCGGTGGATGCGTCCGAGGWCAAGACGGTTGCGGCTCGTTTGCGGCACGTTCGCAGCTGCGACTTGCCGTCGTTKCTTCGATAGAGGAGCACTTCTTCGGACTCTTGCATTTGCTCTGGCGAGATACAAACCGCAGCTTTCTTGTTGTACTTTGTGGGAGGCGTGCAGGGAGTGTTCATGGTAGTTGTACAAGYACTTCAGTTTTCTGAGCCAAGGACGTTTGGGAAAACAGATGGTTGGGTTGGMACAATRCTTTTGTTTTTGCTTTGWCAYAAATTGTGCAACAGATTGTGTGYCTTTCTTTTGCTTGTCTAGATCCAATAGTTACGTRCATATATGCATTTGAAAGGGTGGGCACCCTATACAATCATTTTTTAGATTTCCTACGGATACCTAGATGGGCCTTAGCAWATGCAACGGCATTGAACATTGCGTCGGCTTTTTCCTYCCTGTGATGAAATRCGGTAGGCTAATAGTGATTGTGCTGGTAGTTATCCCGTTTTTACTTCAACAAAGACCCTTTGAAAAACGTGGGAGTTTCTAGACTACCTTCTCGTGGATACACCTGCGTCGGTGTGCTAAGGGCTATTTCACAGCCAAGAAAATTCTTCTTTGCTACCTACGTTGGTTCTGCTCCGTTTCCTTCTCGTCGACAGTCGGTATGTTGGAGTTTGCAAAGGGCTTTACAAAATGCCCTCATTCACCACATGTGACTTTCAGCAACCCAGCATCTAGTTAACTGCCTACTCGTAGACATTCTGAAGAAATGAAGCGGGGAAAGCGGGCACTATTGAATACTGTACCTCGTGCTGCCAAACATCCTCCACAAGGCCCACTTTTAGCAACGTTGGATTTGCTCCTCTAGCTTCTCCTGGACAGAGTATAGGGGCAGTATCGAATGCCTATCTTCAACAAAGACCCCTTATTCAAACCCAGGGACTTGTTGTGTGATCACACTTTCCGACCTTCTCATGGACAGTCTAGAAGAAGGCATAAGCTAATTTTCTATCAAATTCCAAAGATTACTTCCAGACAGGAATAGAGTGTTCCGATTGGTTGGATCTCGAATAGGGACTTGCGGTACCTTGCTACCGTTCGTCTTCTATTTAAGTACTAGGAATGACCTTGTTATGGGGCTCGTACTAGTTAGTTGTTCCGGTACGAGTTCTCTCTACTTCTGATACATGATACATGCAACTATTTCGTATTCGTACATTAGGTACTATGATAGATACGAGTACGAGTACTCGTAGAAGATATCTGTAAGAGACTAAGAAATGATCCTTGCGATACTTCGTAGTAGACGTATGTACCGTAGGAACTCAGACGTGCGCAAAAAATGACGATCAATAATGATTAACATTCATCTCAAATGCAGATTCCATGAATGCAATACAATAATATGTATCATCCGGCAAGAGAACTCCAGTTACATCATTMGCTTCATCTCAGTTTCTCGCAACTATTGTTTCTCGACAACTTCCTAGTCAATAGATCCACAAAGATTCTTACGATTTAATCGTTACAGCGACGATGACCGGGGTGCTTCAGAGGGTTTAGAAGTTCGGCATTCTTTGGGCTGCTACTTCCCCCATTCCTTGAAGAGAGCGATCACTGCATTCACAATGTGTGATAAATAACGCCTCATTGACAATCTAACCTAATCCTGAATTCGTTCCTCAGAGGGTTTTGAGAAAAGGTAATCGAGAGTACACATCGGCTCCATATTCTATTCAATTGCAATCCTTTTTTCCAATGATTGACCTATTGGTATCGCGTTATCTACATGACTGAAGATAGCAATGCTAGTATTTCGTTCTTGTTCCGCTGAGCTCGAAAAAGGCATATCACTTGCAACGCAAGACGCACGATATATTGTAATGATAATTWTTGTTACGATTACGGAATTCATTCTGCTTCGAACTTTTTTTCGTGACATAGGATAGATACAAATGGATTGCAACCGTGAAATGCAACAGATTCGAAATAGAAAAAGTTGCTTTTGTTGTGAACATGAACTTTTGGTGTCTTCGCATRCTACTTTAGATTTTCTCTTGTGACCGGTCAGCGCATCTGTTCTCACCGGAAAGAAATGAAATGGAACCAAATCCTCCATTTATCCACTAACTAATTCGGGAGACAGAAGGTTCAAAGAAGAAGAATCTGCACAGATTATTGATTGTCGGCAAGCGCTTGGGTTTCGGAGGTTTCGGAAGGATCCGAAAGGAACGAAATTTGCCGTTCCATCGACTTAATCTTGCCCTCGAGCACCTCAACATCGTTCTTGGCCGTATCGACGACCTTTTGGATCTCTTTTTCTTGCTCCGACAGGCTTACCAGGGCCTTAGAGATGTTTCCCTTGATTCCTTTCTTGCTCTTGTCCTCTGTGCTCTTCACCATGTCGTACGCCTCGAGACCAAAGTTTTCCTTCCGTATCAACATCTCTCGATCGATGAGGGCCATCTGAGCCTGGATTTTGGTGGATATGCCGGYGTCCGAGATCATTTTCCCCGTCTTATTGACCTTCTGGCCCATCGTGCCGTCCGGCATGGTGTGGCTTCCCTTGACTTCCATCACATCGATCTTTCGCTGGAGTTCGTCCATTCTGGCCTTCATGCCACGAATGTCTTCGTGGCACTTTTCAAAGGCATCCTTCAGAGGGTCTTCCTTCCCGTTCTTCTTGAACACCGAGAGGCTTCCCGCCGAGACGGTGCCGCCCAGGAGCTTTTGCTTGTCGTTCGTCAGGATATTGTAAAATTCCTTGCCAAACTTTTTCTTGCGCTTCTCGATGTTTCGCTTCGCCAGAAGGATGTTGGCCTGCATCTTAGTCTGCTCGGCCTTCCTTTTTACGCTGCCCCAGATGCCCATTTTGTGTCAAGTGTTTGTTTCTTTAAGTGGTAATGTGTGCGGCGTCGATTGCTTGCTTTGGTTGTTGTCGTCGTCGTCGTCGTCTTCGTTRTTGGTCGCAAGAAGTCTTTGGCTAAAACTCATGTTCTCGTACTCGTAGTCCAATGCTCGTCCCGGTACCGGATTTCCATCCAACGGTCAAGAGAWATATCAAAAACGATCAATCCAGTCAATCGAGTCAATTGAGTCACGGACCTTAGGACTCACTCTAGATTTTCCTGCGGATCGACCACTACGTACGCGCGTGGCAAAGGGAAAATACGTCAGTGAATGCATGATACCGTATGGCAGGGTACGAAACCATGCTGCCAAACAGTAACGGTACTCGTASATACACTACCGGTAAGAGGACACAGCAAGGACGATACGTACTCGTACCCGATGGCAACGGGTGCGAATTTTTCCTTGAAACATGAAGTCGTCGTCGTCGATCTTTTCGGGGATCAAAATTCGGTGACAGTAATCATCAGTTGTCTTGCCCTCGTAGATCATTGTTTGTCCGAGTTTCGATACCCGCGTCAGAAAATCGACCAAAACSTACCAACAGCATGAAGTTCTGCCTCGCCGCCACCCTCGCCGCACTCGCCTCCCAGGGCGCATCGGCCTTTGCCCCCGTTTCGAAGCCCGCCGTGGCTTCGTCGCCGGCCACYGCGCTTGGCGCCCTCCCGAGCATCTGGAGCACGCTCGGGAGTTTGGAGGGGCCCAGCGTCTGCTGGGGACCCGAGGGGGTGATCATTGGTCACGAGGAGATCGAGATCAAGGAATACGACAACTTCACCATGTTCCTGGCGGCTCTCAAGCAAAACAACCTCGAGAACAAGCTCAAAGCCATTGGCCCCTACACGCTGCTGGCACCCACCGACTCGGCGGTCCAGCAATACAAGGGGGTTCTGGACGAGGAAACCCTATCGTACCACATCATATTGCAGGATCTGTACTCGGACGAATTCGACGGCGAGTTCGAGACCCTGAGCGGCCACAAAGTCACCCTCCGATACGAATTCCGAAAGAGCTACGCCGACAACGGTGAGTCCTCTCTCGCCGTGTGGTCTGTCTTGCGCTTGTGTGTTCATTGCTSGTGCTCTTGGCAACCCATATCGCTTTCGCTGCACGTTCCGTTAGAAGAACTATGGTCGCAGATCCAAGGCCGTGTGCATTTTTATATTTAGTTTCTTTCTGCGTCCCTGTTTTCGTTGCATCCGATTCTAACCCATAGTTGTTCTCAAACCGCGCCGCGCTCGATTCTTGCCGACGACCGAAACCATCCAACTTTCTGGCACCAATGCAACGCAACAAAATAACAACGAAACGAAACGAAACGAAACGAAACGAAACAGTCCTCGTGGGCCACGTTGGACAGACCTACGGAACGCCTTATCCCCTCAACGTCCAGTGCGACAACGGACTCATCCATGCCATCCCCGACGTTCTCACCCCCAACTGGAACCCACCGGGTGCCGAAGACCAACTGACGACGCGACGTCCCGACATGGACCTGARAAACGGAATCMTCTAGGCGATGCCATCCCCCAGCCGGTTCGCAGTTAGTAGTTCTTTAGACAGAACACAGTACTGCTATTAGTCTTAGAAATAAATGAATRCATCATTTCATTACCTTAACGACCTACCACGRCTTGTTGTTGCAAGCATCATGCTTGCTCTCTTCGTTGAAACGCACGTCATAGGATGYATCTTGTTTTGTTGRTAAGATACTACTAMACCAGGCAAAAGAGGACCGAACAAGAAGAAACGACTTGTTTCACCTTCTCCTCATTTGCCACCGGCGCCAATAGTAMTGCAACCACCAAAGTCTTAAAACTGTTACCACTACTATTATTTTAGTATTATACTACYAGTATTAGTAMTACCAACAGYTTTTATCAACTTGTAGTGGAATTTGTGAARAGACGACGGTAGTGATTTCTTTACGAATAGGCCATCAGTGCAGGTACATACGATACGTACCAGGCACTCGTACCTCGCAATAGTTTTGAACCGAGAAAGATTCATTTGCAGACCAGCCGACTTATCTTAGTGGGGGGGGGGAGGGGGGGGGAACTCGAAAGCGCCTATGCTATGTACGGCAACTCGTACCTACATACTCGTACCGGTTCCTACCCTACGAGTACCGGTACGAGTACCATGGCGAATGCAATCTTCGGCTTGCACGGCGTTCCGCCCTACGTTCCGAGGCCGGCGGTTGGTTCATACGAGTACGAGAATAAAAACGTATGTACATACGTAAGATACGTACATACTTGTACCAGCTGGTGCCCGGTTTGGCAAACCGGGGACTAGGGAGSCGCGCGTGACGCTACGCTAGATGCCCTCGTACGATATCGTACGACACGATACTGTACCGCAGAGTACGTTTACCAAGTACCCGTACCTAKGGCGCATTGCTATTCTAAGAAAAGGACAGAACTTAAAAAAAGTGCATCAAATACGGTCCGGGTTAACTCGTACAGTACGAAAGGTACGAGTACCGTACGGTACGGTACGGAGTCGTCCTGATTCGAATTCGAATAGTACTCGTACAGTGTGGAGGTAAGACGAAAGACAAATCAAATCAAATCAAATAACAAGTGAAGTTCGAAGTAGAAGTACTTCCAACAATCAAAAAGCACAAACAGAACGAAGATAAGTCTTGCGGCATTCCATCTTTGCAAGCACCTTTCCAACATCCCGATAGCCAGTCACGACCGCAAACGTAGCACAGTACAGCACAGCACGGCACGGCACGGCAGGGCATTGCTCTTCATTTGCTAGAAAGCAGCAGCATCGTTCCGATCGAGCACGGAGTCCTTTCGATCCAAAAAGACACGAACGAAACGAAACGAAACGAAACGAAACGAAACGAAACGAAACGAAACGAAACGAAACGAGACGAGACGAGACGAGACGAGACTATACGAGGGCCCACGAACCGAAAATGGCCCCAGAGAAGGAATCCCCCTCGCCGTCCTCGCGTGCCCAGCGTGCGCTGCGGAGAAGCGGCAGGAGCGGGGACGGCCCCGGGAGCGACGGTGCGGATGCCGGTAGCAGCGGGCGCCGCCGCCGGTCCCCCCAGCGGCAGCGGAACCAAGCCGTTCCGTCGGGCTCGGCCTCGTCGGCAAGCCGCGGGAAGAAAAAGTCTCCCACGGCGGCCAAGAATCCGCCGCGGCGTCGGCAGCAAGCACAAGCGCGAGCGCCTATTGCCCCGGAGCACAACAGCAGCAACAACAGCAGCAGCAACAACAACAACATCCTTGGGGCATTTTACGGCATGCTGCTCCAGGGTGCTCCCCCCCAGGAAGGGAATCCGGCAGGGGCCTCCGCGGCGTCCGCCGTCGACATCGACCTGCAGAAGGCCTCGAATGTGCTGGAAGCYGCGGCGGGAAACCTGGCCCTCGCGGCCAACCTCTACTGGGACGACTATTTTGCCACGCAGGCGGCACAAGGCCACGCGAGAGGCCACGCAAATCCGAATGCGGGCCGCTCGAACGAGGGCGCGAACCCGGACGGGGAAGGGGAAGACGACCGGAAACCCCCAGCCGCGATGGAAGACCTCGCGCGGGCCGGTGGGGACGACGACGAGGACAACAACGGGGACAACAGCGGCGAGGACGACGACCGCCACCCGGCCTCCTCGAAGCGGAGGCTCCGCCGGAGCCTCGACCCGGACTTTCAGGCGGCGGACGACGACGAGGACACGAAGCGAAGGAAACGTGCGGCGAAGCGGGCCCGCAGGTCTCTGGAAGGCGAGAACGACCGGGGCGGCGACGGGGAAACCCGGGCCCGGTCCCGGCGGGGCCGCTCGAGGCGCAGGAGGGAGGAGGCCCGCGGGGGGGAGGACCACGACGCGAACGCGAACGCCGGCGGGGAGGACGGGGGGCAAGCTCCCCCCCGCGTCCTGGCCGAGGCGTCCATCTCGGTCTCGGACGATGAGCTCCCGGTGGRGCCGGAAGCGAAGCCGAAGCCGAGGCTCAGGCTCAGCCCCCCGTCCGACTACCTCTTTGAACGGCGCAAATACACCTGGGACCCCGACCGCCACAAGGGAAAGCCCCCGGCCCCGGACCCCCTTGGCAACCCGCACGCTATCTTTAGCTACAAGGAGCTGGAGGAAGCGGCGGAGGCGGTCCAGAAACAGATCGACCTCGAGACCACCTTTCTCTCGAGGCCCTCGGCGTGGTTTGTGGGGACGGACAAGGAGAAAAAGCCCCGCGGCAAACACAAGAACCACAAAAACGACGAATCCCCTGCCGATCCCGACGACTACGTCAGCGACGACGAGTGGCTCCAGGTGAACGGAAAGCCACTGGCCAGGGACGCCCTTTGGGGGGTGATCCCCACCGAGGCAGAACCCGCGGCGGAACCGGAACCGAACCAGAACAACGATAATGACAACGACAACGACAACGGAGACAACAACGAAGACAACAACCACGACAACAACAACAATGGCAACGACAACGACAATAATGATATTAACAACAACAGCAACAACAACAACAACAATGACAATAACGACGACGACAATGACGTCAACTTGAACCGGAACTTGGAGGGAATCGGAAACGTCGTCGCCGCAGACTTGTCGGGGGGAGAGGAAGACGAGGACAAAGATAGCGGAAAGGACGCCTCGCTTCCTACGGGGATTCCATTTACCTGGCTCAAGTCCGGATTTCGGTTGTCGGACTGCGGAACGGGCCTCTCGATTCGYTCCCCGAGGGTGGAAGACATTGACTTTTTCACCTGGAGGCGSAAGCAGGACAACCACCTCCGCAACGCGGTGCCACCCCCCTACCACTGCAAATCTCTGACCGCCATCACCTCGATCGTCACGGCCCTCCTGTACAGCGGGGCCCGCATCCGGGGAGACGGGATCGCCTGTGACAAGGGAAGGAAACCATGGACCTCCCTCACTCCCGCCGAGCGAAAGCGAAACTTCGAGCCGAGGCTCACCGACGCCCTCTCCGTCCTGATCCTGGTGGCCGCCAGGRCATCGCGGAAACGCAAGCAGGAGGCCTACGAGAAGGCGACACAGAGCCCGGAGGGCGGYGATCCAWCCGATCCGGCCGAGTATTCGGAGCTCTTTCGGGAGGCCCTGGTGACGCGAAAACTCATGCTGGAGGAGCAGGCTCGGGTCAAGATCGAGGAAGAGAGGAACGTTGCCTACCGGGCCGCTCGGAGRTCGGGCGAGCTCGCGGCAGCGAGGGTAATCGAGGACGGAGACGCAGACCCGGCCCTGGTGGAGGACGCYTCCCCCTCCAAACAAGAGCCTCCCGGGGCGGAGGCACCGGGTCCTAAGCCCGAGAAGAAGGCTCCGATCTCCCGCCAAGAGAGGCAGCGGATGYGCCGGCGGATCGATCTCGTCCCCACCTGCGTCTGGGCCAACCCGACTGCCGCTTCGGCTACCCGCGGGGGGGACGAGGGGCCCTACAACACTAGGGTCCGTGTCCGGACCACATGGACGAATCTCGAGGACATCCGCCTCTACGTTTCCAGCAACATCAAGACCTTTACCRAGAACGGGGGGATTGCCCTATTTCTAGAAACCATCGTGCGGATCCACGGAAACAAGGTCGTGGCCCGGCAGCTCGACCGTTGTGCCTCCGTTCAAACCTCTCGGCTTCCGGCAGGAAAGGAAAACGCGGAACCGTGTCCGCGGAAGGCGGAACCCCTTTCCCCTGCGGCCGGAATGGACACAAAGGAAACCGGTGCCACGGCGGTTTGCTCGTCCACCCCTTCCGGCGGAGGCCGCTCCCTAATCCGCTGYACCTGTGAGGAACGCTCGAGGAAGAGTAACGAGGAAAATCCAATRCCCCTGAACCTCCGGATCGACCCCAACAACCTTCTGGACACGACCCCCGACGGAACCGGGTGCGCCTCGGTGGAGCTCCTGAATCTGCTGCTGACGGGCAGGGCCCGGCCCGACTGGAAGGACTGCWCCGCGGGGGAACTCGGGATCGGCCTTCTGACCAGCTCGGCCGGGGAGGTCGGGAGGGCCATGTCCCGGCCGGAGCGGCCCGTGTGGCTGGTCAAGGGGGAGGCATCCTACTCGGTGCTGGTCATCGAGGGAGGCTGGAGCCGGTCCGGAAAAGAATCCCCCGGGGGAGCGGGGCCGATCCCGGACACCATCTCGAGGGTGGACCGGCCCGGCATGGCCCTGGGCCTCCTGCACTGGAACGGGTGGTACGGRCAGCGCGGCAGGACGAGGATGCGGCTGGTCGCGGCCGAGCCGCCGGCGGAAATCCCCTCTAGGGCCGTCCTRGAGGCGAAAGAGAAGGAGCRGCGGCTGGAGCAGCTTCCAACACCCTTTCCGGCCCTTCGCGGGAAGCCRCACAAGGGCACGGCCTCCCGSCTGATGGAGCACAGGCGCTATGAGCGCCTGGTGGACCTCGTCGGCGAAGGGGAACACGAATCGAGCCGGGCCGTGCAGAACGAACGACCGATCTCGCGGTCCGAGCTGGACCGCATCGAAATCTGCCGGGAGGACGAGGCCCTGTACCCCAACAACCACAAGATGTGGCGGTTTGCGATGGGAGCGGCCGACGAATCAGCCACCAAAGAGCAAGAGGGGCTTCCCCCCTCTTCCTCCACCGACCGCTGGACCCCCTACTACCGGCTCTCACCACGCCAGAAACGCCTGGTTGAGGCCAGGCTCGGCCCGAAGATCCGGGGCATTCTCTGGACTCGGTGGCCGACGGCGGTCGTGGACCATTTCTCGCCGAGCGAGGGAGGCTTTCCGGTGGTGTAGGGGCACCGAGGAAGGATCAAGAAGAAATCCAACGGAASCAGGAACGACAAGGCAGAGGCTTGCGTTTCGGACCAGGGCGGAGCCCGTTACAGCGAAAGGGCTCGAATCCAATGCCTCCACACGAATGGAAGAAGAAAAAGCCATACATTGTGGCGAAATAAAAGATCTATGAATAGTAGTTTGCCTATCCATAAAGATGCAAAACTATTTTCCCCGGCCAACTAAGAARAAGACAGCCTGCTGGCCTTTCTTTGACGGGGAGTACTGAGGGATTTATGGCTCCTTGGAGAGCGTTCTTTCGTTGCAAGATTTAAACTAGTAGTWAAACAAATACATGACAGCAACCAACTCCAAGCAGACCACAAATGAATAGAGCGATCTTTACTTCCTGTTTCTTTTGTGATGGGACAGAAAGGGACAGCTGCTTGGGAGATGTGTTSAAAATGGATTGCAGTTTGTGCTGGCCTCTGCTAGGGCAACCTTGTGGTCGGAGAGATAGATTTGTATGAAATGTGCCCAGTCCTGCGTCGGTTAGCMWYCGCCGTCGTTTTCTGGTCCTTCCGCAGACGACAGGAGCTCCCCCGTTTGCTTCTTCCATTGCACCTGGTTGCGCTCGTCGCTCTGGCGCTTGGCCCTCGCCATGGCGGCCCATTTTTCGGTCTGCGTTGGCTCCTCCACCAACCGGTCCTGGTAGATGTCCTTCCATACCCTGTGGTTCTGGCCGAGATTCAGCTGCAGGCCCTCTCCGACGACCCGCGTGCTGCAGGTCAGTATGTACCCCTTCTCCCGGATGGTTCTGGAGATGTGCGGCGACARGCCGTCCCCGTCGCAGACCACGGCACTCCCGGAGGCCAGCTGGGAGGAGGCCGACGCGTGGGTTCCCGTACAGGTGAGGCAGTTCCCCCTTCGGCAGTCCGAGGGGATCATGGAGTTCGGYAGACCCAGGGACTCCAGGTAGGGCTGGTTCCGCTCGAGGGCCGACAGTATCGTTTCGTCGGWCCGGGCCAGAATGTCGCAGGAGCTGTCTTCGTAGTGGAGGGTGACGGTGTGTTCGGCGGGCAGAGAAGACGAAGAAGACGGCGACGAAGYGTCGTCGCTGCATTCGTCGGACCGGTCTTGGGATGAGGACTKGACWCGTGTGCTCGTTCGAGCGACAGCTCCCATTATCACGTCGGATTTCCGAGTCGTTTGCGTCGTCGTGAGGTCGCTTGTTGCCGGAATTGTGATMTGAAAGGAGTCGCAAAATGATGGCCACAGCATCATCACCACRACGAGGCCGCATCGGCAGAGCACGGAGTTCATTTCGCTAGTTGTTTGTCGTTTCTTTCTTCGCAAAGGCTTTGTACGGTTTCTATYGTGTATTAGTAGAAAGTGACKGGACTCTTCCTGCGTTCTATGATTAAAGTATGAGGTGATGTAATTTCCGGAGCACGGAATTCTTTCCTACTCGAAGTACTTCTTAGTGTGTTTCTGTTCATGCTTAGTTRCCATGAATTCATCTACCGGTACGCAAGTATCCTATGGTACTTCAGTTAGACTTGTCACGGTTTTTGTTCGTCGGCAGCGATTACGAAATATACTTCGAAAAAAGAGCTGGCTGATGACGGACAGAATTATCAATCATATGTTTTGTGATGTCAAAGCATACGTACGATACGACTGCGATAGTCCGAGGTCCGAGGTCCAAGGTACCGTAGAAGAGGCGAAGAACAGAGAGCAGATTGACACAACGATCATGACCCTCTGATTCATTGGGTCATTCCCGATAACACAGACCTGTATCATTCATTTCCCAGGATATCGGTCATTGTTCAGATCTTCTCCTAGTTCTGATGTCTTCTATCCTCTGTACGGTACCAGTACGACCGTATGGTACGGTACAGTGTACGAGCTGAAAACCTCCCGTGACATCTTTTTTCGCGAAGAATTTTCTAGACAAATCTCCGGGGGGACAATAACTGGTATGCCTCTCTCGCCAAAAAAAAAAATAGGCACTTTTTTCGATGACTCTCATAAAGTGAAGAATCGAGAATCGAGAACCGTGAACCGTGAACCGAAGCACTTCAGAAAGAAGCACATCTACGAGCAATTACAATGAGCGACGACGAAGACAAGAAGAAGATCGAGTCCACTGAATTTATTTTCATGGTAGCCATGCCCGGTACCGGAAAGTCTTTCTCTGGAGACTACGTTGATTTGTTTGGAGACTGGAAACACGTAGATGGAGACACTCCACTCAAGAATTCGACCACCAGTCCCCATTACCATGAACTGGCGATTCGCGTCATGAGGAAAGAAAAATATGAAGGCAAAGATCTCGAATGGATGGAAAACGAGGGAATTGTGCCCTACATGGAAGAGTTGGCCAAACTTGGACTCGAGGCTGCCAAGGAGTCTGACAAAGTATGCATTTCTTGGGCCTGTTGTTTCATATCCAGTCGTCTCTTGCTTAAAAAATTATTGCTTGACGCTGGAGCAAAAGATTTCTCTATKGTTTTTTTGCACTGTGACGAAGAAGCACATATGGATGCCCTTTGGAATCGCACGTGTCGCCAGGCCGAACAATTAGGCTGTACCATTACCGAACTCTTTGCCTTGATTGCGCCTGAGGTAACGATTGAAGGAGAAGTAACCAAAGAAGACTTTGTGGCTTTCCAAACCTCCCATGAATGGTACAAGATGTGGCAAGACCCCGACGAATCGGAACAACCCTTCCAAATAGTCAATGTGACGGCAAAGGACGCTACTGTCCTGGACAGCCTCGATGCTGCGTTTGGAATTGAAGACAGCAACCGTTCCCATTTGGCCTACGACGAAATTGTAGCAAAGGTACGTGCGCTCGATCACGAGCGAGACCTGAAGTGCTTTGAAGCACATAAAGCGTCACTTGAAGGTTCCGAAGAGAACAAGGAAGAGTTGGAGTTTGCCAAAAAGGAACCCGAATTGTGCCAAGCCCGCCGTTCCAGTCTTTTGCTTGCAGATAAGATGAATTCGATGCGCAATCTTTCTTCCGAACGTGGGGAGGAACAAGAAAACTCCAGCATCACCTCGTCACGTCGCAGTCGCCAAAGCTTCATCCTGACGGGCAAGGTCGATTTCACGTCCGAGGAGTTGAAAGAARTGCATGAACAAGAGTAAACAATTGTGAAGCTATGATTTCATAATTTTAGTAATATTTGTAAAAAATCAATTTGTCCGTTACTACAGTTCAAGGCACCTTCAATCGACATTTGAAAACATGGATTGATTGATTCTAGTTACAGCKCAGAAGAGAGAGTGAAAGTGCYTGAAAACCAGATTCCCATGCTCGGTCGCTTTCAACCAAGTTTTCGATAGAATGAAAAGAACCGTTTGCTGAAGGAATCAGCACGCCGGCAGTTTCGGGTTGCACAGCAGACCCCAGTAGGATTTTCAAAGATTTAGAACAAAATTAGCAATAAAAGCAGTAAGCTCGTACATTACGAACTTCGTATTGACTATTTCTCCCTTGATTTGCGATTTTTAACAGGGAATCCTACCATAGGTTACTAGGATGGATCCTCCAAACGGATCGGCGCCTAGGTTTCAATGACAGCGTCATGCCCGAGGAGTTGAGACGATTCCATGAAGAGTAATCGATCACCTTTTTMTTTCGAGATGTGAAGTCATGATTTGACAGTTGTAGTGATCACTGCAGTTGATTCCGGACGAATATTCTACCAAGCAAATAAATGGAGTTCGAAACAGAGCCCTAGCTGGACTCGCGCTGATTGGCGCGGGAATTCGTGCCAATGTTCCGAACGGTAGCATGCGACCTTTTTTTTTTGAAAAACAATGATAGAATTTCTCTYCTACTGCTTCGCGAGAAAGGCCTCTAGGGGAGCCGTGTCGTACTTGTGAATGTCTCGGGTGAGACCAAACTCCTTCACAAAGGCCACCAGTTCGTCGTCGATCTGGGCACCGGGATCGTCGATCGCACCCTTCAATCGCCTCAGCGCAAACGCYACGGGGGACGGGATTTTTCGYTCCCCGCACAGGGCCTCGAGGATGGGCCCGCGGAGCAGGGACCCGGACGCCACCAGGTTCCTCGCCTGCTGGAAGAGGATCGCGACCGTGCCTTCCAGCACGCCGGCGGGGTCCGCGTCCGCGTCCGCGTTTGCCAGCTTGTCGGTGAGCGTTCGTTTCCGCGAGAACAAGAGGGCCTTCTCGGCCTTTTTGTCGAGCTTCCGAAAGGGCAGCCCGCACAGGACCAGACAGTTTTCCTCGACGTACGACAAAAAGCCGTCGACGCTCCCGGGGCGGACGTAGGTGCCCCGGCTGCGGTCGTCACGGTCCACCGGACGAACCCCGCCCCTGTAGCAGTGTCCTCCACACAAGACCCATGTCTTGGCCAGCACGGTGCCCGTATTGCCAGAGAAGCTTTCCCGCAGCACGGGGAGTGGTTCCCTGGGTGGGGGCGACGACAAGTAGCTCCTGGGGTAGCGACGGGCCGCGATGTCTACCTCCGCACAGTATTGGGGAAGGGCATTCGAAACGGGCGGTTCCTCGTCGTCGTTGTCGTCGTTTTCGTCGTCGGTTGTGTCGCCTTGCCGCTTTTCCGAAGGATCCGAAAAGGTAAACAAGCAATCTTCCCCCGCTTCTTCTTGGAACAAGCAATGCTGGGTGATTCGGCTGGTGAGGTCGGCACACGGCCCCCGGAGAAACTCGTCTCTCAGCCTTTCCATGGATGCCTCGTCGAAGACTCCCTCCGCGCAGTTCTCGGCAAATGCAAGAAACTTCGCTTGGGCCTGTATCAGGTAGCACAGGGCCACAAATGCGTCCTGGAAGGCTGCTTCCACGGTCCGGACCTTGGCCGCGGCATCCCTGCGGCTCAGTTTCGCCTTGGAGGTCTTCTCGGACCGCAGCCGCACCAGTTCGGCGTCGACCGCCCGAGAGCACTGCGCGAGGAGTGCCTCAGAGTAGAGGACCTCCCTGCAAAACCGGTAGAGCACCAGGGGGCAGTTTTGGCCCTCGCCCGGATCGCCCTCCCAGTCGACGCCCGTGTCTGCCCGGACGTCGTCGGGGGTCACGTTTTCCTCTAGGAAAGAAGGGTAGGCATCCACCACCGCCGCCGCAACACTCGACAGGGGAACGACGCCCGCCGAGACACCGGCCTTTGGTGGTTTTCCGCCCCTGTGGGTGCTCTGCTTCGAGGCCCTGGCCTTTCGTTTCGATCTCGAGGACCTATGGGCCTTTCTGCTCGTTTTCTTTCCTTCATCGTTTTCGTCGTCCTCGTCCTCGTCTTCGCCGCCGCCATCCAGCTCGGCCCGAAACATCGAGGCGGCCCGGTCCTTTCCGTATTCCTGCACGAGGCGTGGCAGGCAGCGGTCCTTGATGAGCTGCACCAGTTCGTTTCCCACCACGATCGCCCGGTCCTCCTCGATCACGGCTACGCCGTCCGGGGACGAGGCGAAGCCGATCCTCTCGAGGAGGCCGGACACCAGTGCGGGCGATTCCGTCAGGTGCGCGGGAAGGCAATCCCCCAGATCCAGGCTCTCCGACCTCGCCTTCGGGCAAGACAAAAAGTCCTCGATGCTTGCTTTGGCCTGCTGCAGGGTGGACTCGGTGACCAGAACGGCAGACGGCCCGTGGCCGAGTCCCACCACGCCGGGAAAGGACTCTTCCACCAGGTCCCTGATTTGCCCCGGCAGCAGGCCCTGCGGGTAGTTCCGAACGGCCCGGTCCACCGCGAGGTACCCGTTCGCGGCCACAAACTCGAGGATTTCTTGCTGTTGCTTGTGCCTGTAGGAGGTGGGCAGGTAGACGGCCGCCCGTCCGCCCGCCCCCCCATCGGCGTGGATCTCTCCCCGCAGGGATCCGCCGTGCCCCGCTCGGGCGGTTTCCCGCAGCTCGTCCGCCAGCCACTCCAGGACGCGGTCCGGCTCCCATCCCCGGTCCTCGCACACGGAAACGATCTGTGTGGGCTCCCGGAGGCCGGCAAAGTATTCGACGACGGTTTCTCGGAGGGACCGCAGGTACCGCTCCGAGACCAAGCGCTTGGAGTCGTCCACCAGCCGCGGGCCGGACCCGGTGCCACTGCTGCCGGAAAGGGATCCGAGGCGGCACAGGAGTTCGTCCCGTGGCAGAGCGTAGGAGTTCGCCAGATCGGAGATCGGCACGCTTCCCTCGGCCTCGACCCGCCCGGCAATCTCGGTGAGAATCCTTTTCCAGTAGCCGTCCGACACGAGTTCCGCTCCGGGCATCCTTCCGGCGCCCCCCAGGATCGTTGCCGCACGGGATTCCGCTTCCTCCGACAGAGCCTCCCAAAGGATCGCCGCCCGCGAGGGGCAAGCCGGGCGTTCCGTCTCCGCGTCCACGCCCACGCCCACGTCCAGGTCCACGCCCAGCCCGCGGCAGAGGTCCCCGAGCGACGAGCGCCCCTCGCCGAGCTCCCGCAACAGGTGGCGGGCGAGGCCCCCCGGGGTGTAGTAGCCGACGCCGGCGCCGGGGGTGACGGAAGGGATCAGCCGCTGGCACCTGGATTCCAGCACCGGGTCCGCGGCGCAAGACGTGCTTGCACAAGGGCCCGGTCCCTCTGGCTCCCGGGGATGCGGCCTCCCCTGCTTCGGGTGGCGCCTCACCCGGTTCTGGTAGCTCTCAAAGTCGTCGCTGCCACAATCGCCGGGTTGCACCGTTTGCCGATCGTCCGTTTCGAAGTACCCCTGCCTCAGGAGCTGGCAAACGACCTGGTTCGCTCCGTCCTCGGATATCGTCACCATCGTTTTCCGGGTACTGCTCGTTGTCGGTGCGCTGCGTTGCGAGAAATGGCCGGCAGTGCGTGGCGTTTCCAACGAAAGGATTGGTGGTCTGTCGCGGAAGGGTTGCTCTTCGCAGTTGCCTTAGATTTCCGTTCGACGAAAGATTTGATTGAAGGAGAGACACAAGACAAACAAGCTAGAAATAGAATAGAAGCCAGAGGATCGTGGGAATCATCCTTTCGGATCCAATGTTTTGAAACTAAGTTAGATCCCATCCTACCCTGCTACCAGGACTAAATGTACTCGATCCTGCTGACGAAGGCTGGACGGTCGGGCGCAAAATCAAAATTTCATCGACGACAAGGCATACGGTTCTTCCGTACCGGTACGTACCGGTAGGAGTACCAGTAGTAGACGTACGAGTGCTCGTACCGCGCTTGTAGAGCGAAGATCTGTTGACACTCTGTCCCACCAATCACACCACACCACACCACACGACAACGAACAGAAACACACAAGAACACACCAGAACGACACCGTTTCGGTTCGATGATCGTTCACCGAGACCGCGGCGGCTTTGCATCGACAACGAACGTGTGTTTGCACACCGGCCAAGACTTATTTCATCTATACCAAGGCGGTTCGTGTTAGCTCTTTCTCGGTGGGCCTGTTTGTTTGTGAGACAGCAAAAGAACCAACACAACCTTCCGGCCGGCCGAGCGGAAGAAACGATCCGTCCGGTCCCGTTTCGTTCCGTTTTTGCCCGCGGCAGCAGCAAGCACCACACATGGCGAGCACCATGGCAAGCACCATGGATGCCGCCGACTACAACGACGAGTTCTACCTGCGGGTGTACATGGGCCACAAGTCGCGGTAGGTACAGGCAGGTACAGGCACTCGAAGTTCTGTCTGCGCAAAACAACACGAACACCAACGACCAACGACCAGGACCAGGACCAGGACAAGGAAAACCACTGACGAACCCTCCCTTCCTCCCTTTCTGCTGTTCTCTATCGCACAAACAGGCGGTTTGGTCACGAATTTATGGTACGTGCGACGCGTTGTGCCGTGTTGTGTTGTGCCGTGTTGTGCCGTGCCGTGCATCCATGGCGGGTCGCGCGGCAAGAGACCGTTGCGGATCGTCCGTCTGCCCAGCAGAGCCTTCGTTCGGCGGTTGTTTTCTAAGCATCCAAGCATTCCCTTCTTCCTTCCGCTGCCCTTCCCCCTTGTCACAGGAGTTCGAGGTCTGCCCCAGCGGCAAACTCCGCTACGCCAACAACAGCAACTACAAGGACGACAGCATCATCCGGAGGGAGGTCTGCCTCGGGACGGCCGTGGTGGAGGAGCTCAAGCGGATCGTCCGGACCAGCGCGATCAACTCGGTCGACGACGAGGAGTGGGAGGAGCCGACGGCCAAGGGGGGCCGCCGGTGGGAGCTCGAGATCAAGATCGGGAACGAGCACATCTGCTTCGGCTGCGCCGAGATCACCAGCCTGGCCGACATACGGGACTCGTCCGATCCGAGGGGGCTCACCATCCTCTACTACCTCACCCAGGACCTCAAGTGCCTGGTCATGAGCCTCATCCACCTGCACTTCAAGGTCAAGCCGATTCCCTTCTGAGTACGAAGGCGGGGCAGACGCGGCGTCGAACAACGCACGCGGTGGGACGATTCCCGTCGGGGCGTGGCCACCACCGGGGATTCGACGGCGAGGGGGAGAGCGGTCGTTGCTCCATAGGATGCAAAAGAACAGCAACGACGACGACGACAACAAGAAGAACAAGAACAACAAAAGTCATCACATCAGACTCACGCTCAGTGGCCATTGGTTGCCACACACGACACACAACTACTGATAATACATGATCCAAACCGTTGTTCTTAAAGAAACTCGTATTCTAGGGTATGTTTTGAATTGTCGTCGCAATGCATTGCAATTCGACTCAGATCTCGAACCTCGTCCTGGGCCGGATCGACAGCTGGTGCATTGCCGGCCGCGGGGGAGGAGGACCCGCGGAAGCGATTCCCATGGAGGGCTGCCGGCTCGGGCGCTGCCATTGCTTCTGGCGGCGGTGGCAGTGGTTGCCCGTGCTGTTGCTGTTGTGGGTGCTGTTGCGGGTGCTGTTGTGGAAGCTGTTTCGATTGTCGTCGTCGTCGTCGTCGTCGTTGTTGTTGTTGTTGTTGTTGTTGTCAATGTTGGTGTCTGTGTAGTAATAATTGTTGCTGTTGTTGTTGTGGTTGCGGCGGGTGCTGCAGTCGCTTCCCGCTGCTGCGCCGTGGGCAGCCAGCGGCAGGCGCCTCGATGTTGTCCGAACGGTGTCGAGGCTGCTGCTCCCCGACGCGAGGTGTTCTCCGGCCGGCACAAAGACAATGTCGTCGGGGTCGTCCCAAGAACCCCTGGCCTCTGGAGTGTCCTCGAGGGACGACCCGGGGGGCGACGGAAAGCGAATCTCGACCGGAACGGACTCTGTGCCACCCCCTGCCACCGGACGCTCGGCGAGCCTCGGGAGGACCATCCGGGAGGTGTCCGGGTCCGACTCCAGGGTGGAAATGGTCGAGTAGGAATCCCTGCGGGCGATGGTGCGGCGCCTTTGCCTTTGCCAATGGTTCTTCTTGCTGCCTCCGCTGTGGTGGTGGCCAAGGGCGTTGTTGTTGTGCTCCTTGAGCAGGTCGTCCACGGCGAGCCGCAGCCGCCAGTCCCCCGGGTTGCTTGCCCTTTTCGGGCTCGGACTCGCGGCGGGAGCCGGTGCGTGGCCCCCCGCCTCGGGCCTCTGTCTCGCGGCCTTGGATGCCCGTGGGAACACCGGGTTTGCCGCGGCGAAACCCCGGCCGGAATAGATTGCGTGCATTGTGGAAACCGGGTGGTGAGCAAAGGAGCGACCTGTGTATCGATGTCGGGGTTGTGGAAGTGTTTTCTCGGCAATGGCACGAACCAAACGCTACGAGAAAGGATCGATCCTCCATCGGTACTGTAGTCGATCGACACGAACGACTTCGTTTTCCTACCACCCGCATGAAAAAACCAATCGCAGGTATGAGTACTTTACTGGTCCGTACGTACTCGTACTCGTACTCTTGGAATCGTACCAAAAAAACATGAAGGTCCAACCAAGGAACGAGCTGATCTTCAGTCGTGGGCCGTTGCGAAGCTAAAAAAGGCAGAAAAAGTTGTTTCATCGTCCATCCGGCGATCGCAACTTGTCTTCGGTTTTAGATGCAGTCTGATGTACGGTATTTATAAGAGTTCTTCGTGTCGTTTCATTTTTAGGGCGTAAAGTGGGAAGATCAAGTTGACAGACAGACGTTTGTGACGCTGGTTTGTGGAGGGAACGCGATCGCTACGAGTAATACTAGTACTTAACAGTCACACAACGAGAGCTACGAAACGAACAAAAACCACGATGATCAGGGGAAAAAACGGCTCCAGTAGATACTTACGAGTACGAGCGCTATGCACGTACCGCACTGCTTCTTCCGTAGCGCAGTATGGTTCTCTTGTAACGTCTCGGCAGTTCGCCACAAAACGGATCCATGGTTTCAAAAAGCAGGTTTTATAAAACAATCGTTGCCCAAGAGGGAAGCTCGACGAAAGCCGTTTCTTTCTGCAATAATACAACAGCACAGCACAGCACAGCACAACACACAGCAAAGAACAACACTATGCCGCAGCGAATAGCTAGGACGCTATAGCACTACTCGCCGAATCGAATTCCGAGATTCTCATAAAATAACACCTGCAACATTTTGCAAGAACAAGCATTCTTTGTTCCTTTCCCGGCCTTCTCGTCCGTTTCGACCACAAACCATCCCCATTCCGTTCATTGCAAACAGAACAGCGCAATGATTTGCAAGCCGCGAAGTTCCGACCGCTCTGTTCGCACGCGTTGCGCAAGGGCCGTCCCGACGGTCCTTCTCGGACTCGGGATTGTTTCTTCCCTCTTCTCGGCCCAGTCTCCCCGCTGGTACGACATCGGCTCGGCCAACGCCACGAATACCGGCCTGGAATTCCTTGGGAATCCACCCTCTCTGACCAACACCACCTTTGTCTCCAGCATCGGGCTCTTTCGCTACCGAATCGCCGCCACGACGAACGACGGAAGCAACGAAAGCAAAAGCAACGATTCTCCCGCCGGGCACTGGTTCGACCGCATCGGCATCGGGGGGGACTTCTACGACCCGCCCCTCGCCGGAAGGGACCACCCGGCGGTCCTCTCCGCCCAGGCCTGCGCCCTGGCCGGGCCGGTCCTGGCCCTGCTCGGGTGGCTCGCGGCGGTGGGGGGTGCCCGGAAGAAGCACAGGTGCCACCCGGGGGGCCTCCCGCTGCTGGTGTCCGCGGCCCTCCAGGCGGTGGCCCCCGGCCTGGGACGCACCCCCGGCCCGTGCAGCGGTGCCCCCGGGGCGGCCTGCCGCCGCGCGAGGATGGGGGAGGGATTTGTGGCCGGCGGGGTCGCCGCCGGTTGCTTTCTCGGAGCGGCCTGCTGGTGGCTGCTGCTGTCGCCGCCGATGGCGCGGGGGGAGAAGGACCGCGGCCCCTCCGGTTCCGGCCCCACCCCCCTCGCCCCTGGGCCGGACCATGATTGCGATCGCGATCGCGATCCCGAGCAGCAGGGCAGCGGCACCGGGGAGAAGGAAGGCCCGCCCACGGCCCCGGCCGCCGAACACGCGTCCTGGAGCACCGGGCTGGCCCCATACGAGGCTTCCTACGGGATCGCCGAGGTCGATGGATCGAACAAAACGGCCACCGGTGGGGGCGTTGCTGCCGACGCAGCGCCACCGCGGGTCGACGCGATCCACGACGACCGCATCCAACCAGGCAGCAGCGGCGCCGGTGGCAATCCGAGGAAGCGCCGGGCGAGCCTCGGGAGACTCTTTTCCCGGACAAAACGACGTGCCACCGGTTCCCGGAGCGGAGCAAGCGCAAGCGCGGATGCCGATGCCGATGCGGATGCGAATAGCATTGCCGGGCCCATCGTTGCTCTCACCGGAACCGAACCCGAGATCGAATCCCMCGGCGTTGCCTGAGGCAGGCGCGGTGGATGTTTCGTGGGCCGGCAGAGACTGGTGCGGTCGAGGATTGTACTTTTAAATAAACGCATACATAGTTCGTCGTTAGAATACTAGCTATGAAATACATTAGTGACATACATAGTATACAATTTTAGAGAGTCATTGTGGCTTTGATGTATTGATTCGGGCCAGATCTCCCGGCAGGATTGTGATGGAGCAATCAACTTTCTTTGTTCGCAGACGGAGTTCCTTCCATTGCGATTGCACCTCGCACCGTTGCAGATCAATGCGAGACGATTCTCGCAGTTGCTCGCGACACCACTCCGCTTTGCGTCATTGCATTGCCTAACAATTGCGTGGTACAAGGAAACCGGCGGAAACGACGATCCGGGGAAACCAATCTTTGGGGACAGGCAGATGCGTGGTGATTCGCTGTGTCATGAGAACATCCCGGCAACCAGGTGCAACCGTTTGGTTCAACGAAATAGGACAGCAAAGCAATGCCTAGCTCGGGTCCACTCCTCCCTCCCCGTGAGGGCGGATCGGTCGATCGTTCGATCGTTCGTTCGTTCGTTCGATCCTCCCGTCTAGTGCTGCTGTTTGCCTTCCTTCTGCCGCTTCTTGGTCGACAGCATCCCGCAGGCGGCGTTTTCTTCGTCGCCGCGGGTGGTCCGCACGTAGCACAGGATGCCGTTCTCCCCCAGGATCTTCTGGTAGGCCCGGATGCGTTCCGGCTTGGGCGGCCGGTAGCCAGAGGCGGGGCCGAACGAGGCGGAAATGTCGTTCCAGGGAATGAGATTGACCGTCAGCTTGATCCCCCTGATGGCGGTGGGCCCCTCGAAGAACGGCCGGCAAAAGTCGGCGAGGTGCCGGGCGTCTTCCTCCGAGTCGTTGATCCCGTCCAGGAGGGTCACCTCGAGCATGGTGTTCCGGAGCCTCTTGGTCCGGCCTCGGAGGACATCCATGAGACCGTCTCGGAGCTCCTCCATGCTGTGCCGGGTGGTAGGCACCAGCTGGCGACGAATTTCGTCCCGGCTGCAGTGAACGCTCCAGGCCAGGACCGCCGGCGCTTCGGCCAGTTCCCGAAAGACCTCGGGACTGGGAGCGACGGTCGAAATGGTTATCTTTCGGGGTGCCAGCTGGAAGAGATTGTTGTCCGCCATCATGGACGCTGTCTTGACGACCGACGGTGCATTGTCGGCGGGTTCCCCCATACCCATAAACACACAATTGTCGATCGGGTACAGCTTCTTGCTATTGTTGTTGCTCGTCGATTGCTCTTGGTTTTCGGGAAGCGAAGAGAGCCGGTATACCTTGTTGGCCCAGTACATTTGTGCCGCGATCTCGGCCGTGGAAAGGTTTCGGAGCTTGCCCATCCGGCCCGTCGAACAAAAGGTGCAGCCCTGCCGGCAGCCTACCTGGGACGAGACGCACAGGGTCGACTTTCCTCGGTCCTCCCACGGGATGATCACCGTTTCGACCTCGAGGCCGTCCGAGGCAAGCTGCAGCAAGAGCTTGGTGGTACCGTCCGGTGAAACGGAAACCTGCGAGAGCTTGCAAACGTCTTCTTCCACCTTGCTTCCACCGATTTGTTCCAGGAGGTCCAGGGTCGACTTTCCCAGCTTAGTGGGTGTCCCCCTGGTACTAGTTGCTGCCAACCGTTCCTCGACCATGCCACGCGTCCATCCCTTTAGCAAATCGGATCCCGTCCGCTCGGTATTGCTCTCGTCGTCATCTCGTTGGTTCCCGTAGTACCAGATCGGATCGATTCCCATTCGCAGGCAGTCCCAGCAGGCCTTGGCCTTGCCGCTTCCGCCAAGGAGATCCGTGAGTTCTTCAAAGCTATAGGATAATAGGGACGAAATGGGAGTTGCCGCGGGTGATGATGCTGTTGTTGTGTCGTCATCGAGGACGTCGTTTCGTGTTCTCTCCGCTTGCCCCGCGGAACCCTTGTCCCCGAGTGGAAGAATATCATCGCCAGCGATCGTAGCCGATAACATTATCTTTGAAGCAACACGAAGGTTTTTTCTCGCCACCGACACCACGGGCTCTCTTGCGTTATATCTTTCCCGAGATAATGTATTGCGGGAAAACGTCGAAGACACTGCAGGCGCCCATCCTAATACCACAGAGGACCAAAACGAGTGGCAAAAGGCAATGCACAGAATGCATCGAAAAGGAGATTGCTGCATCTTAGACTTCGATCACTGAGAATATAGCAGCCGACTTAACTATCAGTGATGGTCAGGTTGTATAGAGTAATTTGGCTTTTGCTCTTAGTTAGTTGGCATCTGCTCCCTGCTGTGGTCAGTCAGAGATAGTGCAGTGTTGTCTGGATACAACGTATTTTTGAAATGAAGAGACAAATTCTGATTTTTTGATGGAGAACGCAAAAAACATCATCGTCGGTTGGATCGAACGAAAACTTACGTGCTTGTAGAATGAGACCGTCTGCCATTCGCACGTCTTCGGATCACTTGCAGACGCCAAACTGTACCAGTTTTCTGGATCCAGATGATTGTTCTATTGCGAATTGCAACGACGAACGAGTGCTTGTTCAAAAACAATAGGAGTATTGTCATACTCGCACCATTTCAAACTCCAATCTACCCTTTGTCGTATTATTCCGAGCAAAATCAAACCAAGATTACAAACAGATTGCATACTCGTAACGCGGTAGAATAGTGCAACGAGCTGCCCAAAAATGGAGGTTCTCACCAATTCCAAACTCTCCAATCCGGTCCTCCTCCCCAACGCGCAACTAATGGAGATGTTGGAGGGAGACGTCAAACGAAACGAGAAAGCATTGCAGCAGATGCAGCAACGAAAAAGAAAACCCAGAAAAAGCCGGTTTGAGAACCGTGATTGGATCCAACAACATGTTCTGGATTATCTGAAAGGCACGCCCTGTGTCAACATTCCGACGGCGAAACTCGGGGAGCTGAAAGCCAGGTGCATGAAGAAAGAATCGGTGTCGTCCCCAATCCGAAAGAAGCGAAAGGCTCCATCCAAAGGTTCGTCCTCGCCCTCGTCGCCTAAACACGCTTCCAGGTCGTCGAAACAGGCACAAAAAGGATGCTATGCTCTCACGGAAGCAGAGACCCTCCAGGTGCTGAATTTCATGCCGCAAGAAATGGTCGAGATCCACCTCATGGTAGAGGACCTTCACGACCGCATGTCGGAGGCTAAACAGGAGGAGTTTCTGGAAATGATTCGATCCTACAACACGTCGGTAGAAACTACGGAAAAGGACAGCAGCAACGACGTAGAAGAGGACGAAGAAGAAGTCGTCGAAGACTCGATCGAGCTCCTGGAAAAAGCCGGAAACGACAACGACGACGATGGTCTGCCCGCGATGAAGGTCAAAAAAGAGAGATAACAAGCGGCCCAAAGCGAAATCTAAAACAACAGCAAGTAGTTGTTGCACGTATCCAGGAAAATTGTTCAGTAGATCGAGCGGGTTAGGCTGTTTCGACAACAAAGCATATGTTCTCGCGAGGTGCGTAGCTGTGATCAACGAGACAAGCCAAAGTATCCGATCCTACAAATGCTAAGTTGGTTGATCGTCCGTATGGTATGATCTCTAAATCGGAATATTTGATAAATACGTCTTGGTTAAAAATTAAACGTGGGTCTTTTAGGTATGAATAGTGGCACCGAAACCAACGGGTGTATCAACGAACAGCCATGCAGTTGTTACGCATCCTTCGTGAGAAGATCTACGAAAATGGCAGGGTGGTCGCTTCTTCCGGTCCCACGGTCCGCGGCATTCGAGGCAGTCCAGTGTCCAGCAGAAGCGAAGATCTTGTCCAGCCCGGCGTGGCCTCCGGTGTTTCCCCGCGCCTGGTACACCTTTGGAATTCCACCGCTTGCCAGGTTGGACTCGAAGGACCCCTCCGGAGCCCCATCGGAAGCAAAGGGATTGCAATCACCGACCACGATGGTGGGAGTGTTTGCCGCATTGAGCTCTGCTCTCTTGGCCACTAGCAATCGACCAATGCGTGCATGCGTGTTCGGGTCCGATGCCTCGTTGTGACGGTGGGGAAGGTGTGTATTGAAGAACCAAAACTCGTTCCCGATTCCATCTCCGGACACAACCCGAAATCTATGGAATTGCAGGGACGAAAGCAATCTGTGAGCGGACAACAATCCATAAACAATTCGCTGGTGCACACAGTCTCAACCCTGTCGCTCACTTACTTTCCCCACGTGATTGTTCGCTCAGAATAGTTGTCTCGGGGAATGCTCATGAAGCCACTCTCCAAAACTTGAAGGCGACCTGGTTTGTAAAATATGTAGTTCTGGGGACCCGTTTGACGTACCACGTCGTATCCAGAAGCACTAGCCAACGCGTTCGCGTCCTGGCACTCCTGTATGCCAACGACGTCAGGGTCGACTTCTCTGATCTTTGAAGCAAAATCTGGTAGCCTTCCATCAGCGTATCCCGAGTACTCTGTGTTGTAACTCATAGCCTTTATCGACCCAATATTGGATACAGGCGCAGGCGGGGGGGGAGAGGAGCCGCAGCGATCGACATCGCATTTTCCGCAGATAGATGGGAATTCATCGGCAACGATCTGGCATGAATCGGCTTCGGAAAGTCCTTGGTTTGCCTTGATCCACTCGATTCGGTTACGGCATGTATGACCTTCAGCCACACTATTTAACACCTGATCGGTGCAGGAGCTACATCCACACATTGTGTTGTCAATGGGCTCCCCGGTAAGCATTGGTGTTGGTGGAGAAGCAGGTGGAGCTTCTACAGGAGTTGAGCTACAATCGCACGTGCAGGTCCCCGGGAATTGTTCGCTAACAGCGCGGCAAGCGCTGGCTTGGTCGAAGGGACCATCAGCAATGCCGAGGCTAAGCAGAGTTGCGACATCGGTTTGTTCAAGCCAAGAAATTCGATCACCACAACTGTGACCATCTGCAATTGTATTCCAAACTGCATCCGTGCATCTGTTGCAGTTGCAGTGAGACGAAGGAGCCGGGCAAGAAGAGGGATTGCAACCACCGCATTTTGACGGATACTCCTCGCCACCGATAAGACCACACGCCTCGGATTCGGAAAGACCCATGTTTCCAATCGCCCAATCAATACGGCTTCCGCAAGAATGTCCATCTGCCAAAGTGTTCAGCACTTGATCGGTGCACGAATCGCAGCCACACTTGGCGCCCGCCAGTTTCCTTTCTGGGACGGCTCGGCCTCGCAATGCCACGGTTCCTTTGCTCTGCTCTGGGTTCGATGAGAACACCCGGAAAATGAAGGAACTTCCCAAACATACCAGCAAAATCCATGCGAATATAGAACGCTGGTTTGCTATTTTCATTGTAGCGATTTTGTATGATTATTTTGCTTTTAGATCAGGTTGGAAAAAAATTGTGAGAGGAGTTTAGACCTCGACAGAATAGGGAAGTTGTAACTTAAGTAATTGGTACGCATTGCGTATCCTTCCCATGTAGTTTTGGTATCATTTAGTGGGTCATGGCAAGACAGCCAAAGGCATCGAACGTGAACTCACATGAAATACCGATTGTATTCAAGTCGAATATGGTCGTACAAAAGGATGGGGATGCAGGGGGGAGATCGTAAGTACGGTACTACAATTAATGAAAAAAGAGTTGTAGAAAGGCGGTCGTGGACTACATTAAGCCCCATCTCTCTGCACTCTTACCGTACTCCGAGAGTCGTGGTTCATTCATAGCTCATGGCGTCATGATCCAAAACTAGACTACTACGACTCGACTCATTTGATTGCGAAGAGGTGTTTTCGATCATTTTCATTGATCGACACAATCTCGCGCGGTAACGCGCATTCATTGTTATGTGAGACATGCTCTTGATTCAACGTCATCAGTGACTGGTAATCACCCATCACTGGATTTTTGTTTTCTCCTTCACAAGAAGAATGAAAAACATTGGGATACACTGTTGGAACAGAAATACGACCATGTCGAATGAGCAGCATTAACACAACAAAAACCGCAACGCAGGTGTATCCTCGAACATTGTAATCTGACTGGTACCGAGAATGGGCAAGAACAACGCATCCGCACGGCACATCTCCGAAGTGGGAAACTACGGGGACAAGAGGGAATACTACGCCTCCAAGTACCTCATGGAGCATGCGCCGCCGAACGATCCCGTGGCTTGCATCCGATCCCTCGAGGAGTTCGATGTTCGGTGGACCATGCTACACCTTGGCCAAGAGAAAGGGGATTATCTCGATGGAGCTATCCGGGCCTTGATCTCGGAAAAACGACGGGGGAAGAAACGGAATTCACGCCACCAGCCGATACAACACTCGGATGGAGCAACAGAAAGTGGAGCCGGAACAACTTGCTGCCCCAACACCGAGGCACTGAGCGAGCATCCAACACCAATCCATGCACTAGAGATTGGCGCATACATTGGATACTCGGCAATCCGAATAGGGAGACTGCTTGCCGCGGAAGCAGACCCTGGCTCCACATTATTGTCAGTAGAACAGAACGAAGACAACTCAAGGTATGCAGCAGCCCATGTGAACCATGCGGGTTTAAATAAGACCGTGACAGTTCTTCATTCCAAGATAGAGGAATGTTTTAAGAATGGTGAAAAAGATGAAACCGATGGCGAAGGGATTGCCATTAACGCGGGGTACAGGGAAAACTTTAGTTGTCGTGTTCCGTACGATTTTGTTTTTCTAGACCACCGAAAACCATTCTATCTCAGGGATTTGAAGTTGCTGGAATCGAGGGGTGTTATCGATGCAAGTGTGACCACGCTGGTAGCGGACAATGTTGCCCCACTGGAGCATCTACGGAACAGAGCACAGGCGATTGCCAGGGGCAAGCGCAACGGCCCGTGCAAGTGTGTCAACAAGGCGTGCGATTTTCTGGACTACGTTAGACAGAAATGGTCCTCGACTGAAATATTTTATGGGGAAAACACTAAGGACGGTATATCTATTTCTAAACCTGCTTCGAAATCGAATATCGATGTAGTACAATAAGAAATAAAGACGTCGTACAGTGGTAGCTAACGACAGGAATTCTTCTACTCTAGACAACGTATTTTTAGAGTGCGGAAAGAATAGGACCCAAAGGATAGAAATTTTCATCCATCGCTTTGCATTCAGATCAAAAATAATCCTCGTCCTTCTGACCGTACACACAACATAGTTTTACTGCACCGTGAATTGCAGAGACAGAAAAAAACAACCACATTCCCTCGCTGCGCATCCCCCCTACGAATATGTTACCACATGGTGCAGGTATAATAATAAACCATGTGCATGATACTGAAGCCCGTCTTTTTGTTTTGGAACCTCGATTGTGAATAGTGTTTCGTAGTAAATTCGGTGATTTATGAATCGCAAGTACTTCCTACGGCCGAGTTGAAAGAAAATGCCGTCTAAAAAAATCGATTGCCCAATAAATATAAAACAGTTTTCTTCTGGTTCATTTGTGTTAGCGTTGTTTTTCAATGATTTGAAATGACATGCAATGACAACCAACCGCAATATCTTTTCACAGTCACCCAGATGTAGGTCATGAACTGGTTTCAAAGAACTACCCTGCTACTATGGGATTGCCGAGAAAAACGGGAATGTCTTTCAGAAATATTACAAAGAGCATGCTACTGTTACATCGTCTGCTGCACTAAATAAAGCTGTCTGTTAAGCGCAAAACCGAGTTTCGGCGCGCCTCACATCCATGGCAAGTTGTTCCGATCCTTCCACAACCTTACTTATGCTGGGGGGGAGCGAGAAAAAGACGACAATGCCGTCGATTCATCCGAGAATTCTTCCTTCATCAGAAAGTCTTGGTGTTCTTTACTGGTGTTGTATACTTGCGTGTTGAATTGGATCGCGATGGGTGAGGTTTCGCGCAACAAAATGTTCGTGTCGTCGTTGTCGTTGATGTCACTGCTTCGATCTGATCTTGTTCTTGCTTTCGTGCAAAGCGTCCAGGCCCTCCTCAGTTGTTGAGACCACCGGACTCCAAAAACCACCGCAGTAGCCAGGGAAAGTTTCCTCCAAAATCTCGTGGATTCGACCGATTCGGTTCGGAATCCGCAAACCTCACTGAACCCCCAGACTGCGCCCCCTGCACCGAAGACTTCCAGAACGAGCTTCGCGAAAAACTCTTGGCACAGACCAAAAATACAGGCAACGGTAGAACTCGTGGCTGTTGCGATCGGCATGGTTGGCAATCCATGCATCCGGCTGCCTTTTACAATGGCACCAAACGTACCCCAGGGGTTGTGATTGTGATGATATCGTTTGTGTTGGGCAGATACGAAATTTTGAATGGAATGTTTTCTAAAAGTATTTTTTGGAACCCCGTCTCGAGCGCGGTTTAGTTTCAATCAACGCCTTTGAATACCTGAACTCTCTCCCAGCTTGTAGTACTCCTACCGTACGTAGCCGTTGGTAGTCTAGTTAGTAGGATTAGGACTGTTACTGTAATGGCAAGACTTCTCTCCGATCTACCGTACCGTACGGTATGCTGGCAAGTTTTCTGCAATTTCCCTACAAATACTAATAGAAATTTTTAGCTCATTTTTATTGTTAAAACAGTTAAACAAAGGCATCCAACGGAAGAAATAGAAATACTTTTATCCTTTAATCTGTCACTGGTCCCTAAATATTTCTTTGGTGCTACAGCGCAGAGCTACTTCGACTCGTTTGATTTATTCTGCTGAAAACAAAAATGTTTTCAATCCCGTCACGAATGAACTAAGTTTCATTTCTTGTGAGATGCGAGATACGTCACCTACCCATTTTCTCAGCAACGTCGTGAATCAGCGGTATTGTATTGGTTACCGCGCGTGAGTCAATAGGAAGTCGATGCACTCGTACCGGTGCACCTGTACATGCACAGAAACCGCAGAACATTTAGCTGACCGACTTCGGAATAGCGTAGAATTCAGAGGCCATCCTCCGAACCACATTCCCTAGAATCAAAGCAATTAGGTCTAATACGATATTCACCATGGCGTTCCGAATCTCCATTGTGTTCCTAGTGGCGGCGACCATCATGGGCTCCAATGCCTTTGTCCTTCGGACATCCGGACGTGCGGCGACTTCACTGGCGTCTACCACCACAGACCAGACTTTGCTTTCGGTGACACTGGAAAAGCCCCTTGGAGTTATTCTAGAGGAAGTGGAGGAGGGCCAGGCCAAGGGTGTCTACGTTCTGGAACTCGCCGAGGATGGATCAGCCGCTGCCTCGGAGTTCAAGGACCAGTTGGTCGGGCTTCCACTGGCGAACGTCATGGGAAACGACGTGACGAGCATGGATTTTGATTCCGTCATGGACCAGCTCATTGCCGCACCCTCCCCCATCAGCCTTGACTTTTTGCTCGCTTCGGACGGTGAGTCGTCTGCACCCCCGGCCGAGGAAGCCTTCCCTGTCGGAACCACTGTGGCCATCAAGGTACTTGACAACAACGGAAATCCCGAGACCATCGTCCAAGCGAAGGTCGGCGATAACTTGCGCACTACCCTTCAACAAAATAACATTGAGGTCTACCAGGGACTGAAACAAAAACTAGGAAACTGCGGGGGTGGTGGACAATGCACCTTTTGTGCCGCTGAATTCATCGAATCGGAAGGATGGGAAGAACGATCCGACTACGAAGACCAACGACTTGCGAAGGCACCAAAGGCGCGCCTTACATGCCTTAACAACATTCAGGGACCCGCAACCATTCGTCTAGTTTAGTAGGAGTATTATGATGTAGAGTTTTAACGAAAATTACACAACAATTCTATGTCACAACATATTCCATGTTATTCAACTCTCCCTAACGTAGCCCTATCGGGCTCAGCATCTCCTTATATCCCAAATGAACAATCATTCCCATCCGTGTGGATATCGATTGTATTGCTTGAATGCATTTTAATATGATCGTCGTGATGTCTCGCATTGGTATCTATTCGTTCGAGAATTCTTCGCAACTTTGGTTTTTGCTTTCCTGCTCGCGTTCCCTTCATATGCCTCTTCAAAACCATTATCTTTTCTCGAGTGACGTGAAGTTCGTGAGCCAATTCGGCAGCTGTCTCTTTGGCATTTGAACTCGCAGTCATGATTCCCGCGGCGCAGGTCCATTTACGGAAGGCAGATGCAACCTCCATCTTGTTGTTATTTTCCAAGACGCAACAAAGAAGTCTTGCACCAGCTACCTTGTCCCGGACTTCTTTGGCCGCATCGGTAACAACGGCAGTAACATCGCAGGTCGATTCGACGTGCGTTTTGGGAAGAGATGGAGACTCGGAGCGTTTTGCTTTCCATTGCATAAGCCGATTTTGTCGATCATTCAGTTCGACGCTTGTTGTGTATGCTAGAGCAGCCAAATCTTCAAGTCGTGATCGAACTTCAGCGAAGTAGTTTTCAGATGAATCCATACCGGCAAGATCCAAAGATGCAAGAAGATTTGAGGGGTTCAAAAATAGGTCGTCGACTGTTCCCAAGGTTGACGACAGTTCAAGCAGTTCAGACTCAGATTTAGATGCTAGGTTCATAACTTCTTTAATGAGATCCTCAAGCATTTTCTCTGATATTTTCACGTCTTCGAGCACCGCTGCTTGTTTGAAAAATGCATCCTTTACGGATGACACATGATCAGACTTAGCACCTTCAATTACAGGTGGGTCTGACCTAACGCAGTGATCATTTACATGTTGGAGCTCTTTTTCTAGAGCGGCTGTCTTTTTTCTCGCATCCTCGACGCTCTCGCAAAGTGTCAAATTGGTTGCCTCAAGGTTTGCGTTTTTATTTTTTAGAACACCTACTTCCTTCAACCGAGTGTTTTTTTCTTCACCAAGTTGGTGGATAAGATTTTCAAAATCTCTTCCGATTGCCTCTCTCATAGCATTTGATGCAATAAGATGCTTTTCTTTGTCTTCTAACAGTTCCCGGCATTGTCTGAGTTCCACGTTTGTACTTCCGAACTTTTCATCTAATTCGTTTTTCTCATCCGTCAGATTGCCAAAACGGATGCGCATCGACTCAAGGGCACTACCTATGTCAGCGAGTGATTTAGATTTGGTTGAACTTTCTACTTCGAGAATACTAACTTTTTCACGCAATCTGGTTAGTTCGTTTGCGATTTCCAGGTTGAACTTTTCTTCTTTTACGTGAAGCTGTTTTTGCTGTATCGATATGGTTTCTGACAAAGCATATTTTTCTTTCTCGAGGGTTTCTAGCTTCGTTGATAGGCAATCCATTTCTCTCTGCAAATTTGAATACTTCCTGGCTTCTGATTTTCGAGCCGATTCCTTCTCGTTTATTTTTTTCTCCGAGTTCTTGAGACTATTCTCAAGGAACAGAGTTCTTTCTTGTAACTGTTCTACTTCAAAACTTTTTTGAGAGAGAGAATCTTCGAGTTTCTTTTGGTTTTTTGTGTTGTCTCTTTTGAGAGACGCGTTCTCAATTTCCATGCTCTCTATGGCAGCATTAGTTTGGATGACTTTATCGCCCAACATATTAAGCTCTTCGTCCTTGTTTTTGAGGAGAGATTCCAATTTTTCCTGGCACTGCTTTCGCTCATTCATGATAAAAATCATTTGCTCGTCAACCTCTGAAGCATGAGTTTGAGACCGGGAGAGGGCAACTTCGCTCTTGTCCAAGTCGGCTCGTAGATTTGAAATAATTCTTTTGAATTCTGTAATGCTCTCCTTCGCTTTTTTCTTACTGTGATTGAGAAGGACTATTTGCTTCTTTAAATCATTCGTTTCAAGATGCTTGGCAACAAATTCTGCACGAAGCTTAGAGACATTCTTCTTCAGCGACTCTTCGGTACTCTTATGCATTATTTCGCTCTGCCTATGAGATTCCTCAATCGATATCAATTTGACGCTGAGATCTTCAATATTTTTCAATAATCTTGCTTTCTCCGTTCTTTCTGATTTCTTTGTTGTTTCTTCTTCCCCTTTTCCTTCATCAGTGAGTGGAGTCATTTCTTTCATTTTCATCGCACGCAGCAGCTCTTCGCATTGGTGTTCTCTTTCCGCGACAATCAAAGCCATCCTCTCCATTTTGTCATGAAGCTTTCCATTGGTGGCTTGCAGCTCAAGAATTTCGTTCGCCTTCGCGTTTTCGCTCTGATGAAGATTGGAAACACATCTCTCTAAATTTTGCATTTTGAAATGATCAGCGATAAAGATAGCTCTTGTTGATAAAACCTGCTGTTGCAATTCCACAACGTGAGACTGATAATCCTTTTCATTCCACTCGAGGTCTTTTTTCAAACGCAATGATGATGATTCCGCAGATTTGAGTTCCTCTGTTAGAAAATCAATATCTCTATTTTTTGCTTCAACCTTTTCTCTCAATTCGCTTGCATCCTCATGAAGAACCCTGACCGTCCTCATCGACTTCTCAAGGAGTTCACTTGTGATCAATTTATCATTTTTCATTGCTTCCAGATCTCTCTCTAATGACAAATTGGAGTCGATGAGTCGATTAATTTCTCCAATAATCGAAGGAAGATCAACTGCGCTGCCTTCATAATGCTCATTGCGATTAAGTCCGTTATCACCGATTTCTTCATTCGCTGCTTTGGCAGGGGCGTTTCTGATATTTGCTTGTATTTCACGCACCGTATTCTGTAAGCAATTCTTCCACTCATTAAATTGAGTCCTGAGATCTGACTCTGACTGCTGAGCATCTCCGAGAGATTGCTGCGTCTTCTTGACGCATTCTTCAGTTTTAGCGAGATGTGACTTCAACTCTTCGGTATTCTTCTCTAGTTCCTGTGAAAGGCTTCTTGACTCCTCAAGGGCTTCAAGTTTCTCCTCTTTTTCGAGTTTGTATTTTTGAGAATTGAGAAACGCTTCAGTAAGCATGCGATTATTATTCTTCAATTGAACAGAAAGGCTGGTGATAATAGCATTAGCTTGGAACAGACTGCGTGCAAATGCCGTGCATGTACGCATAGACTTTTCTTTGGTTGAAACCACTGAGTTGAACTTTTCGTCAAGCAACTCCAGCTCTATTCTCACATCATACGCCTCGCCAACTATCTGTGCATTTGCAATTTTTTCGGAAGAAAGCATGGACTGTAAATTCTCGTTTTCCGTTATTAATGCGCTGATTTCTTTCTCTTTGGAGTCCTCGAAATTTTTCGCCACGAGCTGCATTGCAGATATCTCTGCTTGCATCTCCGTTATCATGATGCTTTGACGTTCAAGTTGTTTCGTTTTCTCGGATAGCTCAATAGTAAATCGATTTTTACCTTCTTGCTGCTCACTGACATTTACTTTCAGTTCGTTTTCAAATTGAATAGCCCGTTTCGACATGGCCGCAAGTTTTTTTTGCAATGATTCTACGTTCAATGTGGCTTGTTTTTGCCACTTGCGTTGCATTACTGCAATTTCCATTGCCTTCAATCGCTGATCCTTGACGTCACTATGGGTGTGATCAAGAATCGCCAATCGTTTGACGAGACGGAAAATTTCAGAGCAAGAATCTATTGATATCTTTTCCTTCGCTTTTTCCAGATCCCTGACATTTTTCTTGAGGGCATCACATGAAGACTGTCTATCATCTGCAGAAGTTTCGATGTCTATTATTTTTGACTTTAGACTTGAAATGATGTCAAGTTTTTTCGAATTCTCTGTATCGCTACAATCAAGGCGCTTTGCTTGAACAGTCAATTCAGCTCGGAGGTTACCAATTGCTATATCCTTCTGGAAAATTTCAAGTTCCAATTCTTGAATCTTGATTTCGTTGCACTGAATTTCCTCTTCCATGTGATCAATGGCCGATTGCTTGGAAGAAAGTTCTTGATTGCGAGACTGAAGATCAGTTGTTAACTCTTGGATGCTCTCCCAATATTGAGTCGAAGCCTCTTCGTTTTCCGATTTCAGCGAGTCAATCGACTTCTTCAATTCGGCCAAAGTAGTTGAGTCGATACCATTGTCTTCAAAAAAATTCAGCTTTTCTTGCACAACCGAGAATTCACTTCTAGTCGTGTGGAGCTCGTTTGTCAGCTGTTCGATATCCTTCTTGTACTGAACCGATTTCTCTATTGACTGCTTCAGATTCGACTCAGCTGTTTCAAAGAGCGTGTGCTGGCTTCGCAATTCCGAATTCAATCGTTTCATCTCCTCTTCGTGGATATTTACAATCTCCTTTTTCTCCATTCTTAGACTATTCGCTTCTTCCATTGCTGTATCAAGGGAAGATTTGACAGAATCGTATTCCTCTTGAAGAATGTCCAATCTCATTTCCATGGACGAAAACTCTTCATATTCGTACTGTAGTCCTGCCGTGAGATCCTCGATTCGTAAATCGGATCTTTTGAGTTCATTCTCTCTTTCAATGCTTAATAGCTTCAGCTTTTCGAGGAGCTCTCTCTCTCTCTTTTCTGCAGAGATCAGCTTTTTCTCTTCGTTTTCAAGCCGCGCCGCAAGCAAACCAACCTTGCCCTCGCATTCCGCCACCAATTCTTCCTTCTCAATCTGCAATGCATCAACTTTGTGCTCTAATTGACTTTCCGTGGTCTTAAGTTTTGTCAATCCTTGAGATAGTTCATTATTCTTCGATTCGAGTTCTGATACAATTGCCTCTACTGACTCATTGTGTTGAATTTCCAATTGTTTCTTGGAAGTTACCAACGCGTTCATGTCATGTCTGAGCAAGACACCAGCTGCGATAGCATCCTCTTTTGACGCTCTGATAGATTCCAATTCATCCTTGCAAGACAAAAGCTCGCCCTTCACCAGTTCAAGCTTTGAGGAGAGGGATTCAATTGATTCTTCGTGTTGAAGCTCAGATTCTTCCTTGGATGTCTTTATATCATCTAACTGAGACTGGAGATCTGTTATCATCTTTGACTGCTCGTCCTCTTTAGCTTCACTTTCATCTAATAAGCGTTCGCAAGATGAAAGCCTAACCTTCTTCACTTCAAGTTCTGAGGAGAGGGATTCAATTGATTTTTTGTGTTGCAACTCGGATTCTTCGTTAGATGTCTTCACATCATCTAACTGAGACTGGAGATCTGTTATCATCTTTGACTGCTCGTCATTCTTAGACTTGAATTCTTTTATGCTGTTTTCACACGATAGAAGCTCGCCCTTCCTTGAATTCAGCTCTGAGGAGAGAGATTCAATTGATTTTTTTTGTTGCAACTCGGATTCTTCCTTCAATTTCTTCATATCATCTAACTGAGACTGGAGATCTGTTATCATCTTTGCCTGCTCGTCTTTCTGCGATAAGGTTTGCTCCAATCTACTTTGGCACAGTAAAAGCTCAGTCTTCCTTGATTCTAGCTCTGTTGAAAGAGAGACCATAGATTCCTCGTATTTTGACTCAGATTCATCCTTCGATTTTGTCACAGCATCTAATTGTGACTGGAGGTTTGATATAATCATCAATTGCTTTTCTTTGTGAGATTCTGCTTCCTTCATTAAGCCCTCGCATAAAAGTAGCTCATTTCTATTTGATTCAAGTTTAGACGATAATAATTTGATGGAGTCTTGGAACTTCAATTCGGATTCTTTCTCAGCTTTTGTCATATCATCTAACTGAGATTGCAGGTTTGCATTCATCTTGGACTGCTCGTCTTTCAAATATTGGATTTCCTTCACTCTGCCTTGACACATGGTAAGCTCGCTCTTCTTTGATTCAAGTTGCAGTGATAGTGATTCTATGGATTCTTGGTACTGCAACTCGGCTTCTTCTTTGGATTTTGTAACAGATTCAACTTGAGTCTTGAGGTTTTCGCTTGTTGCAACTACGTCCTTTGTGAGTAAGTCCATTTCATCTAATTTCTCCCGACATGATGAAAGTTCACTCGTCTTCGAAGCTATTTGCAACGATAGTGCTTCGATCAATTCCCGGTGTTTTACTTCAGCGATTTCTTTCGATTTCGTTACTGTTTCAATTTGAATCTTGAGTTCATTTACCACGGCTTGCTCGTCCTCATACATTTTAGTCGCCTTCTTCACTCGGCTATCCATATCAGCTATAATTTCTTCTAGTTCGAGTTTTCTTTCTTGCAGATCATTGCGTTCTTCGGTAACTTCTATCTCCGATTGTTGTATTTCTAAAAGTTCTCGTTTGGCTCCCCGTAATTGTAGGTGCAGATTTATGGCCTTTTTGCTGGACTTAATCAATTCATCCTTCGAAGTCTCTTTTAATACCTGAAGGTCTTTGGTCAATGACTGGATTACAATTTTCTTCTCTTCAATATCAGCGAAGGTATAGTACTCGCCATTCTCCAGTTTCTCCATCAAGGTTTCATGAATGGTAGAGGCGTCGTTTTTTGTTTGTTCGATGTCTTTCCAGGTCTTCGCTAGTTTGTCCTCAAGAAGCAATTTCTCCTCTAGAAGCTGTTCTACGTCACTGTTCGCATCTGCAATTTGTTTTGAAAGTTCGTAATTTTCTGCCTCGATCTTGGAGGCCAAGGATTGGCTCTCGATAACCGCCTTCTGTTTTTCTTGTAGTGAATTTGCTAGTTTTTCAGTGAGGACTGATGATTCTTCCTTGAACGATTCGTAGTTTTCTATTTCTTCCATCAAAGCCTCTTTTTCCCTCGTAACTTCTTCAAGTTTCTTTTGTGTATGTTCAATTATCCCATGATTGTTTAGGTCAGATTCTTTGGATAGGAGTATGGATTCTTCAAGTTCTTGAATAGAGCACGAAGCATCTTCAAGGCGATTCGTAATCTCGACTTTCTCTCGTTCGGCCTCAACAATTCGGAACTCCATCTCTGTTACCATAGTTCGTGCCATACCGAGCTCAATTAGCCTTGACTCTGATTCTTCGCGCAAAACATAGTTTTCTTCTTCGAGTTTGGTGAGCCTTTTCCTCAAACTATCTTCTTTTGCTTTTGCGACACGTCTGTATTCGTTAGTCTTCGTGTGTATCTTTTCGTTTGCTTGTACCTGTGTTTGCATTCGAAGTTTTTCGGTTTCAGCAACTTTCCTTTCCAATTCTTCAATCCGAGTATGTGTTAGCGCATTCTGTTTTGTTTTGCTTTCCTCGAGAGCTTTTCGGAGATCCTCGTTCACGACTTGAAGTTCACGGATTTTATTTTCGTTCCTTTCACATGTATGTACGTAGAGATCTTTCAATTCTCGTTCAGTCTTCGACTGTTCTTTTCTCACTTCTTGGAGACGTTGTTCGTATGCAGCACGTGCGAGACTTTCCTCAAATAGGTCCTGCTGCTGTTTGACCTGGAGCTCTGCCGGGAATTCTTCGCAGCCATCGTCTTTCGAAGAAATCTCTCCCTGTGGTTGCTTTTCTACTTCAGGTGTCCGGATGTGACGAGAATCCAGAGGGCTAGTTTGGCCACTATCGTTTACAACTCTCGAATTATCAACAAATGATGACGTCATGTCGTTCGAAGTTTGAGAAAACTCTTGCTCATACGTACCCATGAACCCATCAAAGAGAAGAAACTGATCAGCGAGAGCCTGGCGTGGCGGTGTTGAAATTGATTTAAGCGATGATCTGGTTGTATCCTGGCTCAAATAAGATGAATTGGAGGGTTCTGATGCTCTGTCTGGAGTTGACGACTGGATTGGAACAATGACTGGTCCTTTTGACTCCTCTGCGAATATTTTTCTATTCCTGATAGGTGTCTTCTGACTTGGTGATTCTTGTTGAGTTGAGGGCGAAGGCGATAAAAGCTGACAAGGAGATCGACGTTTTCCAGCGCTTTTTACAGTGGCATTTAAAGACATTTTGTCATTTTCTTGGAGTCTAGGAGATGCAGACGGCGATTGTATCGCTGTCTCATTTTTACCATTTTTTCCCTTCTTCAAACTCGTTCGTTTTGTCGGAATGAAGCGTTGGTGGCTCTTCGCTTTTTTTCTCGCTGATGGACTCGAATCCCAGACCGACTGAACGGTGATTATTCGTTTCACATGTGTCATCGTCAATAGATTTATGATTTCGTCGTATGTCGTGGCTGCTATCAACATTCCCTCTGCCTCGACTTTCAGTACCAAGTCGCCGGGTTTGATCTTGCCAGACTTCCGAGCCTGTCCAGGATCATTAGGCCCCCCATCTACAAACCTGGCAACTCTACATCCATACATAGGAGCCTCGTTCACAGGCTCCAATTGCAAACCGACTGGGCCGGGAGTTAAGATAATAGTCTTCTCACTAGTGTTTCTTGCGACAACGGAAGAGAATAACGACAATCGATGGGGTTCTGGTTTTTCTCTTGCAGTTGTGTTCGGGTTGCTGCCTGGTGCTCGTTGCGGGGTTCGACGTACTTTCACTTTCTTTTTCGTACTCGTTTGTGTAGATTTTTTTGATTTGTCGACGTTGCTACGCAGCGGAGTTCCAAACCTTCTTGCCGCCATTGAGGATGCTCGATGCTTTTGGGTAATAGAAGGATGACGAGGATCGACGGACGATTACAAAGTGCAGCACCAAGTCGCACGCAATTTTTCAGGTTGCATGAGAAATACCTTCGATCTTTAATAAAAATTCCAATATCATGGCAGAAAACCTCCAGACAGCCACCTGTTCTACTATCATTTGCGCAAAAGCGTAGGGTTTCACTTACCGTTGCATCGACATCCGCGTTGTTCTCTTTGCCCCCGAATATTCCCATTTCAAACATTGGATAGATTTTGCGTTCGCCGCACTCTTAAGCACTGCTTTTCCTTCAGTTTCTGTTGCTTCCGATCGAATGGGTGCTGTAGAGCACTTCTAACACAACTTACATGCAAAAAGTCCAAGATCATCAGAGTACGAGTATGAAGTTGGTTCTCATACCAGCACCGTACTAGTGTAGTACGAATTTCATATTCTTGTTACTGTACCGGTAGTTATGAAACTCGGAGTAAAAATAACGACATCTTCATAATGTTGGAGGGCCGAGGGTATCGAATATTTTTTTGAAATTTCGATATGCGCCAGCCCGCCAGTATTGAATCGAATCAGTCGAATTGTACTAAATAATTGTCCTGACAATAATATCGCGCTTTTGCCGAAACTCATCGCGTATCCTGAGGCAGATTCACAAGAAATTTCCCGCCAAGACCGTGTACCCGTTAAATAAGGTTCCGAATTGGGGTGTGCAACGCAATGTCTTGTTGCACAAGAATTCCATTGCACAATAGTAGTAAAATGTATGATTGATTATTAGAAGTACTTCTTGTTACTACTACTAGTAGTACTCCCAGCATACCACCACTATGCAATTGCTACTCACTAATTGTTCAACAATGTGCCCCTTTATTTATCATTGTACTACCAAGAATCCAATTTTTCAGCTATGATGACTAGTACTAGTAGTAGTAGTAGTAGTAGTAGTAGTAGTAGTAGTAGTAGTAGTAGTAGTATAGTAGTAGTAGTAGTAGTAGTAGTAGTAGTAGTAGTAGTACTAGTACTAGTACTACTACTACTACTACTACTACTAGTACTAGTACTAGTACTAGTACTAATACTACTACTACTACTACTACTACTACTACTGGCAGATTCACAAGAAATTTCCTGCCAAGACCGTGTACCCGTTAATAACGTTCTGAATTGGGGTGTGCAACGCAACATCTTGTTGCACAATAACTCCATTGCACAATAGTAGTACTAAAATGTATGATTGATTATTACTAGTAGAAGTACTTCTTGTTACTACTACTAGTAGTACTCCCAGCATACCACCACTATGCAATTGCTACTCACCACTAATTGTTCAACAATGTCGTGCCCCTTTATTTATCATCGTACCAATCCAATTTTTCAGCTATGATGACTACTACTAGTAGTAGTAGTAGTAGTAGTAGTAGTACTATTGTTACTAGTACTACTATTGTTACTAGTACTACTGATGCAGATCCTTCTCGTCCTTTGTAGTACTACTAGTAGTAGTATGACAGCACCAGCACCAGCAGTGTTGGTGGTGGTGACCCTACTACTAAATATTGCTCCTTCATGGTGGTGGAGGAGCAGATAGTGTCCTTGCTTGAATAGTAGCAAGAACAAGATAACTAGTAGAAGTACTTCCTTGCTAGAACAGCCATTGTTGTTGGAAGAAATTGTTTCTTCTTATTATTTCCCCACCATTGCAGAGGGTTGGAGTGGTGCCTCCTGGTCTTGCCACCAATCTCCTCCTCCTTGTCTTTTTCAAAGGAGGGTCAAGTTGGGGATGGGATGATATGTACCTCCTACTAGTTATTTGTTAACTTTGGTTCCTCTTTTTACCACCATGTAATGACTAAAGTTCTTTGACTAAGAAATTTGCATGTGTTTGCTTCAAGCCAAAATTGTCCATTTAGCATGCTGTGCATTCAAGAATTCACAGCAAGAAGAGTAAGCAAGTGTACATGGTACAACTTAGTAGTTCTTGTTAACTCAATGTAGTCATCATATTAAAAAGAGCCCAAAATTCATGACAGGTGCCTGGATTTGGATGCCAATTTTTAATCATAAGAAAGATTGTTTGTCCCCGAGGAGCACCATTGCATCCCTCAAATCTATGGTGATTTAAATCATTTGCAGATGTGAGAATGGCATCAATCATATTTTTTCATTCTTTGGCATGGCATGATTACATCATGATATAATTTGTATTTAAAGCATTAGTACTCCTATTTTACATGATCTGCTGTTGGTGCATTATTGCCATCTTCTCTGCTGTTTATGATATGATGTGCTCAACAGTTGTTCAGATATGAACTATTCAAGAATTTACTTCATTTCTTACCAATATGATTAGAACAATTGATGAAATTCAAATGTTCTCAATATTATGATCACCATAATGCTGCTGCTGGACAAATAGTACTTTTTTAAGGGGAAGGGAAAGCAAACAGTAGTATGGCAAACACCACCAGGCAGCAGTAGAAATGTTGTTGACAACCACCATCCAGCATCACTATCTATTAGCAATTTAGCAATTAACAGTTGTATTCCACTGACTTACTGATCCCATCCTCTTGAAACTCCACTGCTAGCACTAATATTAGGAATATTTTTGTTGAGCAATCTGCTAGTACTAATAAGAAGACACCAAAATTATTATTTCTTGAGAGAAGATATTTAACTAGTAACATTTCTTGTCAAAAGTGGAAGATTTTGAAAATTACTGGAGAAAAATAAAAAATAGTATCATCATTTCATTTGATTTTTTCTATTACTGTGTTCCTCCATATTGATATCCACTTGTTGCAAAAAAAGAAGCTTTCTTTCTTTTTGTTGTGATACCACTAGCTAGCAGTGTTGTAATAGGCCATAATAAGATGAGAATCAAGTTTGTTTTGCAAGGATTGGACCAGAATTGTCACTTTTCTTTTGACACCTACTACATCTAAGCAAGCTGATGTGAAGTTAAAAAAGAGCAGCTCTTCTGCTGTAGTAGCACCTAGTTCTACTACTAGTAGTGCTACTAGTAATAGTAGTAGTAGTGCAAGAAGTATTTGCAAACATGACTACTGTATTCTTGCATCATGCATTACTCACACCACACAATTTAATTTCAATAGTCTTTTTCTAGTCCCATGAAACTTATGGAACTACTACTAGTAATCAGATTCATCTTACTTCTTACTTGAGTCCAATAGGAATTGTAGCCTGAGTCCACATACATGTGTGGCACTTGCACTTCACACCTGGTGGAATGAAACCAAGGAATTAAATTTGGTTTGTCTACTATTCATCTAATGCTGGTGGTAGTTTCTTGCAAAAAAGGTACTACTACATCTACTAGTACTAGTAGGACTCAAGTCAGCACCAATAAAAGAGGGAAGCACAAGGCATCATACCTATTAGTAGAAGTAACACCAAGAAGTACTACTTCCTCCACCAGTCCAATATGAGTGTCCTCTTTGCACCTTTTCTAATGAAACAAGCCCAACAATTGGGCAATTGGAATGCTTCTTTTTCCACTTGACAGATTATGTTAGTGATAGAGTTGCGTCATTACCACCATTATTCTTGTGTCAGCAATTAAATTGAGAGAAGCCTTGAAACAGAGAATTTTTTAGTATATAGATTTCATTTTATGGGTTGAAAGGGTTCTACTGGTCATTAACAACCAGCCTTGCAGCATTAGAAAGCAAAGATAGAGTATTTTCAGAGGCTACTATGTCATTTACTATGTGGTTAAGGAGAACTTTCTTGTTATTGGTCATTGTCACCATTCAAAAGAGGTGTTTGTTACCATTGTCAATGCAAACTTTAGTTTGACATAATAATAGAGTGCATTTTAATTTCTTGGTGTAAAGAATAAATTAATTTTTATTAGTCTTGAGTATTGTCGTTTTATATGTGTTATACACAGTCATTAGTAGAATCCAACGGTCAAAAAGTAAAAAAATCAAGTATAGTGGGGGACACAACTCTATCAGGACCAACAAATAACACGTATAATGACACTCATAGTGGACCAGAGGAAGTACCATTATTGTTAGTAGTAGTACATCCAATCCTGGAATACAAGATATGATCTTTTTGTGAAAAGCTTGGTGATCATGTGCTGAACCAAGTGAAAAGAATGGATATATATTCTTTTGCTATAGTTTTATTGTTCAGCACCTTGTTGCTGCTGGCTGAGTCTAATTCATAGTGGACAATTGTCTCTGTTATTTAAAGATAGTATTGATGCTGTGAATTACTAGTACTAAATCCATCTATGCATACCACATGATTTCAAGCAATCTGTAACATGATCAATTCACTTCGAACTTGCATTAGTTGTCCTTAAACCTTCTTGTTGGTATAAGTTCATACTATCTATGATGTACCAAACAATCCCAATGGCAGGGAATTGTTAATCATCTTAATGAAAATGGTCACATTCAAGGGAAGATTAAGAAAGGACATAATATTTGCATTTGTGATAAATTCCAGCTTGCCTTGGAACAAGTACACAAATCACTACTTCTGGGAGAAACAAGATGAGGAGATTTTCAATTGATATGATAAGAAGTGGGAAAATCTATGCGACAACACTTGTTAAAAAATCATAATATTATATTTAATCTCATGAACTAGAAGAGGTACAAAATGGCCATAGCCATGACTTCTGGAGAGAAGAATGCTCCTAGCTGCTCTGAGGGGCAGCGCCTCTCAAAGGAATCTTTGTAGAGGCGCAAGTGAATGCTACAACACTTGTAGTTGTGCAATGAATCAGAATAATCAGGAAGTTCATACACTCCAATACAATGCCAAAGGCAGTCAGGTGGTTGCACAGCTACCCACTTCATTTTAAATTTTTAGTATTATCATACATTTGGGAGAAATAAAGGAAAAACACCAAGGCACCAATCCAACCGAATAGAAAGGCAATTGCACGAGATAAAAAAGGGTAAGTGTCGCCACTGTCATCTGTGACACTTTTCACCATAGCTGATGTCTCCATCAACAATTTATTCGTAAGGACGCAATCTTCTTCTGCCGCAAGAGCCAACGCCAAACGCAGGGCATTCTTTATTTCACGTCCATTAAGAGGACATTTAGCTAGTTTCTTCGTATTGATCAAATCGCCAAATACCTCCCCCTCACCATCTTGAACGTTCTGAACACCCGACTTTTGCAATAGATTTTTCCAAATTTGTTGACGGCCATCTCTACTCAAGTTGTGATAGGGTAAAGACAAAGTGATACGCGTTTGAAATGCCGGGTCGAGCGAATCCATACGGTTAGAAGTTAAAAAAAGAATGCCGGAAAAGTATTCTACCAACTGGAGCATTACACAGACCATCGCGTTCCGCTCAAGTGAGGAGGCCGATGATCGTTTTTCTAGAAAGGAATCAGCTTCGTCCAGCAAGATGATAGCATCCCATTTGGCGGCAAGTTTTAGGATTTCACCCAATCGCTGTTCTAAGTCATCTGCGGTCGTTCCAAGCGTTCCCATGCTCAGAGCATATAGAGGACCTACCATGTCGGATAAGAAAATTAAGGATGAAGAAAACAAAGTTAGAACGCAAACATGAATATCCTCCTTCATCGCTTCGGGCCAAATAATCCATGATCTTACGTTTCAGTATCTCAGCTACAGCTTCAGCGGTAAGAGTTTTTCCAACCCCAGGCGGGCCGTACAGCAAGAATACAGACCCTTCTCCCTTGCCTGCAACMAAATCCTGGAAGTTGTATTTGGATTGTCTTATCTCACCGCCTGCAGAAGATACGTGCGACGAATTTTTGACCAGGGCCTTGATGAGTCGTTTCCGGTTGTCTGGCAAAACTAATCGATAAAAAATATCTTCCGAGAATTGGATGTCTTCCAATCCATCGACCAAGCAATCGCCCCAAGCCTTAGCCGTCAACGAAAAGCCAAGAACACAGGGCCACACCATTTCTAAGTAGTCATCAGGGATCACATCGAAAAGTACCATCCCACCGCTATCACCATCGCCAGTACCAGAAGTTGCTTGGATAGAGACCGGGGACGAAGTTGAATATGAATTCCCGGCAGCATCGACAATGAATTTGTTCCCATCAACCTTGGTACTGCCACCGGCACCCGATGCAAAACGCGATTGATGCAACTTGTATTCCTTCATCTTATATTGAATCCCAGTTATCATGGGATCGTATCCAATATTGAGAGAATTTCCATAATCGTAGGCACCTTGGGTATCCACGACGATTCGTCCGCCGGTTGCCATGCCCCGTGCGGTTACGGAAGGACTAGTAGAGCCACCAAATCCATTCCGTTTGACAAAGAAACAGCCCTTCCGATAGGCCTTGTAGGAGAAGGTCGATCTAGAAGAAGACGAGGGGATGCTAGAATGATTTGAAGTTCGAGGACAATTGAGTGCAACCTCATTGTAAATTCTACCCCTGCGCCGGTATCGCTCCAATAGAGACTTTTGTTCTTCTTGATTGTAGGCCATCCACGGAATAAAGGTAAGTCCATCTGGTCCTCTCGAAAAAATATTGCGCCGCCCCTCGAATTGATCGATTCCTTCCACGACCTCCGCAATCGTAGCTTGATTACTCCCCACTGCTACTACAAACTCGAAACAAACCTCAAATTGCTTGCTTTCCTTTCCAGTGATGGTGATTCCACTTTTGATACGATTCCATGAGACTCTGCATATCATGTCAATTCCTCCGGAGGCAATGCTCTTTGCTACAACCCGACTACCGGGCACATACAGTGCTGAAAGAGAATCAAAGTCGTACAACTTGCTGTTTTGCAAAAGAGATATGCTTTCCTGAATATCCTCCTTGTACAGGTCTTCGATGTAGTCGATCAATGCATCCAATCCATCAATGCTGGAAGCCTGACTCAAGTGAAGATTCAATCCAATGCTTTTTGCAATCTCTTGAAAAGTTTGACGCTTGGCACGGAGCCATCCAATATTCTTCTTCATTGACTCCTTATGAGCACCAGGCGTTGTCACCATTGTTTCGTTGTAGGCATCACGGGCGTACTGAACCCCCTGAAAGGAACCGAGGGCTTGATAGAGTGTCTTGGAATTGATCACCATATCATCGTCACCGATGTCTACTTTGGTTTCACTTCTATGTTTTCTATTGGATTCGCGACGACTGCGGCTTCGACTGGTTTTGTCGACCGTATGAACCATTTTGCGGACCAGTGACGCCAAGACAGACGTTCCTGCATAGTGAAAAGCAATTTTTTCGTGCGCGTTTTCGGTTTCGGCTCCCGAATCATTTGTATTCTTAATGGGGGTGAAATGGCATCTAGACGCCGGGGATGACTTGGCGATTGAACCGGTACTCGTATCACATGCCTTGTGAGTGGCAATGATCGTTCTGGTCCTTTTCACAGGGCCTACCTCGGCCAATATGGCTTCCAGTTCGGGAATCTCGGTATCTGTCACGCCGTCGTTCGAGGCAAATTCCAGAATATAGGGAATCTCGATTCCCTTCATACGCATCTTGATGTATTTAGTTTTTTTGGGTTGGCCACTACTGTCCTTCTTTAGATGAAATGGTTCGGCCTTTTTCTGCCGCTGCAAGTTTTGATCTATTTCTCCGTCGCTTGCGGCGTTTGTCACAGTAAAATCTCTCGAAATCGGGTCATCACTTTTGCTGTGCGATGACGATGACAGCCAACCTTTTAACTCAGTGCAATCGAATCCCTGGATTCTCGCTTTTTGCAAGATTGCCTCCTCGGGGATGCCCTGTTTCTTCATCTTGAGGAACTTTCGAAACCGTGGAGGGATCGCTCCTCTGGGGGAATTCGACGCTTCCTGCCGATCGACACGGCCGCCACCGCTATCGTTTTCGTCGTCATCCACACTCACACCCAAAAGCTGCCCGAGCAATCGAGTGTTTTGTTCGTCGCTGGTCACCCCCTGGACACGCGCCAGTTGCAGGATGGCTTCGTTTGGAACGCCCGCCTTTTGCATCCGGAGAAACCTTCGCAGGTGCGGCGGCGGTGGTGGAATGTTTTCGGATGTTTCTTCGCCCTCTGGTTCCTCCGGGATCTCTTCGTGTTTCTCGATCGGTTTGAGGTCGGGCGCCACGACACTTTCGTTTTGAAATTCGACGCCGTCCTTGTTCGGAGCAGCATTGCGCTGTTTTGACTTCTCTTGGAGAATTCTCAGGGGAGGGATCCCCATTGTCTTTTTCTTTTGCATCATGGCTCGGAATTCTTCCTTCGAAATGCTGACGGCATTCGGATCGTTTGGGTCGATCCCTGCATATGGATTGTACCGATCCATATCGGTTTCGTTCGCGTCTTTGTTCGCCGAGTCATCCGCTGCCGATGCCGATGCTTCAGAAGGTGCGGACGATGCCTTTCCTGTCATGCCCATGCCTTCTCTTCGCTTTGTCGTTGTGAGTATTTTTTCTGCTTTCTGCGTTCGTGGATTGCAAAAAGAAATAGTTCGGCTCGAATAGTCTTCGTCGCACAAAAACAAACTTTCAAAATGAAGTGAATTTTTTCTGTCAAAAAGTGTATTCTGGTATGGTATGTACTCGTACGGACGTCACAGTACCGTGCGTAGGTACCGGTACAAGTCCTTGAATATTTCACAATTTGGATTTCCACTCACGCGGACAATGATGGTCATCGTCCCTAATTATGTGTCACTGGAACAGACAGGATGCTATGCCAGATGGAAAGTGATATTCGGGCCCTACCGATTATCAAACGAACACCTTTTTTTCGTCACACCAATGATTTTTTTCGTTCCTGTAAGGTGCGTACAGTATGTACGTATGGTACCTTCAATCCAAGAAGTCATTCTAACTTCTAGTCCCGTACTACTTCTATGAAGTAAGTACGTACTCGTACCTTCTGTACTCGTAATCAGAACAAAACGGTTTAGCTTTTCAGAAAACCATAGAGGTGGTTTACTGTAGTACTCAAGGTTATTCTGGAATAGGAAACAATATTCTATAATAGTAGCTATAATCTGGAACAGGAACAAGAAGTTCTTCTTCTTGTTGTCCCCAAGGCTATGGGCTAAAAAATTGTAGATCTTCTTCGAGATTAGTATGATGTTTGACTCTGGAAAGTGGTGTTTGGACCCACAACAGAAGTACTAGTCCTACTAGCAGTGCGACAAGAACACGTATTCATTCCTCTAGTTGTTGTTTTTGTTGTTGTTGTTGCTGCTGCTGCCGCATGCTGCGAGAACCAGACTGGCGCACCTCCCGTTCCTCCGTCGTCTTTGCCACATCTCGCGACACGGTGCGTCCGCGGTTGCGTTCGTGGTACGGGTCTTGCCTCGGTCGATCGCATTTCCTTGCATCGCGTTCCATTGCATTGCGTTCCATCGCATCGCGTTCCATCGCACCGCATCGCCCCGGCTCACCCCCGCCCCACCAGGGGCTGGGTGGTCGGCATCACCGTCATCTCCAGGACGTTCGCGGAGGGGGGCAGCTCGACCATGGTTAGGACGCACCCCGCGACGTCCTCGGGGCGGAGAAAGCCCTCCGTCCGGCCCCGGACCTCCACGTCTTCCGGCGACAGGAGTTCCGAGACGACGTTCCCCGGGTGGATCGTCCCGACGGCGATTCCGTGGTCCCGGACGTCCAGCGCCAGGCTCTTGGACAGGCCGGCGATGGCGAACTTGGAGGTCGTGTAGGCGGTGGAGTTGGGCCGCGGGCTGAAGGAGGAGATGCTCCCGATGTTGACGATGCGGCCGTTTCCGGTTCCGGTGCCACTGCCCTTCTTTTGCTTCATGCGCTTGATGGCCTCGCGGGCGCACAGAAAGGCTCCCACCACGTTGACGCCGAGGACGGCCTCCATGTCCCCCGCCGTCAGTTCCTCGACCGAGCCGGCCGTGGCGTTGATCCCGGCGTTGTTGACCAGAATGTCGACCCCGGGTCCGCCGCCGCTGCCCAGCTCGTCGATCTGCCGGAAGAGCCGGACGACGCTGTCCTCGCTGGAAACGTCGCAGGAAATCGCGTGGACCGTCGCCGCGGTTCCCTGCGGTCCGCCCTTTTCCGCCTGCTTTTCCAGGAGGTCCGCCCGGGCCTCTTCGAGCTTGGACAGCCGGCGGCCCGCCAGGACGACGGAGATGTTCCTGGCCAGAAAGGCCCCGGCAATGGCCTTGCCGATGCTCCCGCCTCCGCCCGTGATCAGGGCCAGCTTGTTGGTCAGCATGGTTCGTTCTAGTGGGTGTACGGTGTTGTGTTGTGGTGTGGTGTGCGATGAGGTGCGATGAGGTGCGATGCGTCTTTGGTGGTGCGAGTGGCGGCTTGCGGTTTTCCCGGGTTGCACCGTTGGAATCTTTTGAGGATCGAAATGCAGAGACACAGAGAGAGAACCCTCACCATCAACAACAGGGTCCATGGTCTCGAGATTTTCAAACCGAGATCTTTTTTGTCGTCGATTCCATACTGTGTTAGTGAATGACTCAACACCATTCAGTCATGGACGAGACGATGAACGAATCAAACTCCTCTATGGAGAACTTTTTCCAAATTTTCTCAATTTCCCGTGGCATCCTCCGTTTTTTTTGTTTGCTCGGAGCTTCAGATAGCTGCGTACCAAGTACGTACGTACCGTCCGGTCCGGTGCGGTAGAACTGTGGGTTTCAGGTACACCGGCCCGGTACGCCTCGGTTCTGGACGGTAGCAGAATAGGGAATAGGCTTAATTCTTGTTGAATTTGTACTAGTACTCGTAGAAATACGTACTTACCCGTAAATGTAAGGGCATTACTACGATGTGGCCTTTACTGTCCGAAGTGGCATGCATGGTTTCGGTTGCGTTTCCTTTAGGCGATGTTTTGCTGGACTCTGAACTGCTTGTTTTTTTTCGAGAAGCCCGTTTCGTCTCGTGAACAATTCTACAGTTTCGTGGTTTGCCACCAGAAGAATCGGATTGGTTTCGGTGCACAGGGGAGCACCACCTTCGCCACTATTACCACCACCACCACCACCACTTTCGAGACACTCCACCGCGAGAACTACCCACGCAGCAACAAAACAATGGGCAGCCGGAGAAGCGAATCCGATGCCGAGAGCAACAGCAAGGCCGCTCTCTCCGACAGGGAATGTTCTCCGAATCTTCCCACGAGCGAATTCGACGGCGCCGAAGTCGACCAATTCGACGACGAGTACGGAGAACGAAGGACGCGGAGGCGCAAACGAAAGACGTACCTCACGGTCCCAACACGGTCGCCGGCCGAAGGAGACCATGGCCAAAACGCCAGCGAAACGACGGTCGATGGCGACGGCGACGTCGACGGCGCCGCCTTTGGGATCGATCACGGTGCGGTCCGCGAGCTCGCGGGGGACGTCCGCGAGCTGCGAAGGGGCCTGGCGATCGTCTTGGTGTTGTTTGTGCTTGTTGCGGGCCTGATCGCCCTCGACGACTATTTCAACGGCCGATACATCGATGCCACCGTGGCGGACGGAACGGACACGAAACCGGAAGCGGAAACGGATCCAGAAGCACGCGGCAACCCAAACGAAAACAACACCAGCAACACAAGCGCGGACGGGGCCTACCACGGGCCACCGTACCCCCGCATGGGCCACAAGCTCCGGATCAACGCGAGCGCCTTTACCGCGAACGACTTTGAGTGCCTCCGGCTCGACACCGGGAACTGGCCCTCGGAGCGGGTCCACTGCGAGCTCCTGCCGGGAAGCGGCGACGAGCGCTACGAGTTTGTCGTGGAGCACTTTGACGACGAAGGCTGCCAAGCCCCCAACGCCCAAAACCCGGTGGTCCGGCACACGGCCTCGGGGTGCTTCTACTACGAGGCCTACAACCACTCCTACAACGACCTCTGCCACCCGAACCGGACCTTTACCGTCTCGGCCTTTTTCGGAAGGGGCTGCCTGGACCCCATGCCCGTCACGGCCGTGAACCTGCTGCCCGAGGGGGAAGGGGCCCCGTGACGCGGGCGGTCCCGGGGGGGGGGGGGAACTTCGGCGGGTCCGGGCCCGGGGGCTTGGTGTTGGAAGGGGTGTTTGTTCGTGCCAACACAATTGCTGTACTATACTATACTGTTACTAGTGTACACCACAATTCGTATCAATCCGTTTTTTTCCTTGGTCGGTTCCAAACGAAATTCGCATCTTTAGCGCTGGCATTCGTTCCCACGGAATCAATCAAAGACGCACATTGCTTCGTGGAGGCCTTTGGAGATGCCTCCCTGCGTGCGCCTTCGATGACGCATTTGTTGCTCCGGCATCCTTTTCGGCGCTTCCGCACCGTGGAGTTCGCGGGTCTTGCCGTGCGTTCTTGCTGCCCACAAACGCACCGCATTGATTGATTCGGAGGGTAGCATTCCCTGCGTGGAAACAGAAGCATCGCAAGGCCGTGCCGGAACACGCAGAAGGGAAGCGTGCAGACAACCTAAGGTCTGTGGCGTGGTATGGCATCCTGTCCTGCAGCGGGAGACGATTTTACGGAATCTCGGCATGGGATAGTGGTGCATTCTTCCGTTCCTCTCTCGTACCCTTGGTGGCGGCTGGGTTTGCACAAACAGCCACTCGAGACAGCAAGTTGCTTCATAAAATAGTGGGACCATACTGTATCATTGTAGCAACATTACTACTGTACAAGTACCATTTTTGCTTTTGACCACCAGCAACGAAACAGAACGGAGCAATGAGCAATGATATGTATGCATTCATACCTATGAACCATATGTATAGTTTTATTGCACGTGCCTCCGACCTCCGACCACCTGTACTAAAAAATCTAGACGATCTTTGTTTTGGCACGTTACACATCGTGCTGGGTACGGTACCGGCCGGTACGTACGTACTCTTAATACTATCAGAGATCCTCGGACTCATAATAGACGATGATGCGAGCGTGAATTGATCGAAGAAAATTCATGACTTTCAAAAATTGGTCGCCCAACCTTGGAACAATCATCGTCCTGAACCGCGTGTTGGATCTGATCAGGCACTGGATCCCTCACGGTACACCTAGCCATAGACCAAACGAATTCCCCTGCTGCGGCATCACCGAACAAGAATCAATCGGAGAACTATAACCACCGCATCACAAACATACCGTGAGCTCCCAACATGCCACCACCGAACGATTCCCACATCGGCACCGAACTACCGGCCAGGAAAAAGGCCAAGACCGACACCGATGCCGGCAGCAAGGTCAGACAACAATCCTCCCTCTTGAATTTCTTTTCGTCGTCCCCCGCGAAGGCCGCACCGAAACCAAAAACAGTCAGCGTTCGCGACGCGAGCAAGCCTCCAAAACCCATTCCCGATGCAGCACCTCCGTCTACCAAAAACGCCGGCGGCGAATCGGCAACAGAGGCGACCGAGACCTCCCGGCCATCCACCAGCGGTCCCAAAGCACCTGCCAACCACCGCGGAAGCGATTCGGTGGAGGCGATCGTCCCCAAGCAGGTTCCGGCGTCGGCCGCCACCTGGGACTCCCTCCACGACAAGTTCGTCCTCGTGCGGCGGCCGCGGCTGCGATCCAGGGCGAGCGGTGCCGACCCAAGCACCCCCCGGACGAGGGTGGCTGCCTTCGATCTCGACGGAACGCTCCTGAACTGGGCGAGCGAGACCCCGGGGTTCTGGCCCAGCCAGCTCCACCACTATGAGTTGTGGAACTCGACCGTCGTTGACAGGATGCGGCAGTTGTACGACCGAGAGAACCATCTCCTGATCATCGTCACCAACCAGGGGGGAATCCAGGGAGCCCACACTGGGAAAAAGGCTACCCTCCTAAAATCCCTAATCGATTGGTTGGAATCTCTCGTGGAGCGCCCGCTGGTCGTTGTGTCGAGCACGAAATCCCTAAAGAAATACAAGGAACGGTCCTTTCACAAACCGACACCGAAGCTGTGGACGAAGGTACTGGTGCCCTATTTCGGGAAGAAGTCCGCGAGGTTCGACCGGTCGGCAAGCTTCTTTGTGGGCGATTCGGCCGACGAGGACGATGCGCAGGGGGGCGTCGACAAGAAATTCGCCAGCAGCGTGGGGCTGGGTGCCTTTTACACCCCCGAGGAATATTTTGGTGCGAGCCACCGCGACCTGAGGGAAAAGCGGGCGCAACTCGGTGGCCGGGACGAGGGCGTGGTCCCGGAAACCCCGGCATCTGCCCTCGAAGCACGAAAGGCTCTGCTGGGCGGCTATTTGAACCCGATCGAAGGAAACGAACAACGGGAACAAAACAAAAAGCCCATATTGCTCATCCTTACGGGTATACAGGGGTCGGGAAAGAGCACGTTTTGCCGCCGTGTCTTGTTTGGAAGAAACATGGATAGCAACGACGAGAGCGGAGACGAAAAAAACGGTTGGGTGTGGCTGAGCCAGGACACCATCAACAACGGAAAGCCCGGGAAGCGTGAAAAAGTCGAGGAACAAGCCCGCGAGGCGCTTCGAAAGGGCTTCTCTGTCCTCCTCGATCGCATGCACCTGGACGCCGAAGAACGCGGGACCATGATCAACAACGTCGTTCTAGGACACGAAGATCTAAAATCTCGCGTCCGCATCCACAGCGTGGTCCTCAATCCGTCCAGAGACGTTGTCGCTCGCCGTGTCAAGAACCGCACCAATCATCCGGGAAAAGTCGAGGGTGACGCGGGCGTGCGGATCGCCCTGGGTTCGATGGGCCGTCTCGCGATGCCCACCTACACGGAAGCCTCAGAGGAAGGGAAAGGTCCATTCGAGCTCATCAGTGTCGCATCGTCCGAGCATGCTACGGTACAGTTGGCACTTCGCTACCACTATACCGCCGGAGGTACCGGTGAGAGCAAATCTCGTTTTTCCGGATTCCAATCGGCGGAGAGGGTGCCGCTCCCGATATCGTCCCCGAATTCAAACATTCCATCGATCCCAAGTCTTTCGCTAGGGACCATGAACATGGGGAGACGAACGTGCACCGAAACGGTCCAACTAATGCTGGCGTCTGGTTTTCGCTCGATCGATACGGCTCCGACCTATAAGAACGAAGACAAGGTTGGAGAAGCGTTGAGAGGCAGCGGCCTAAGCGACGATGTTTTTGTCATTGCCAAGGTACCGAAACGAGCCACCGACGCCGAGCAAGTCCGGGAAGAATTCGAGAAGACGCTTCGAGAGCTGGACCGTGGGTCTGTGGATCTGCTGCTTCTCCACTGGCCCTCCGACGTCATCGCCCAGAACACACTCGGGGAAGTTTGGGGCTGCATGGAGGGCTTTGTCCGGGACAAGCGATGCAAGGCGCTCGGGGTCTGCAACTTCAACGAGGGCGCCCTCTTGAAACTCCTCCGGTGTTGCACGATCCCGCCCGTGCTCAACCAGGTCGAGCGGCACCCCCTGCTGCCCCAGTTTTCCCTCCTGGAGGTTTGCGCCCGCCACAACGTGTTGGTGCAGGCGCATACTCCCCTCGGTGGTGCCAAGAACATCGGCGAGCTGCTGAGCCACGCGACCGTGGAACGGGTGGCCAAGGAAACGGGGCTAGCTCCGGCCCAGGTGCTCGTTCGATGGAACCTCCAACAGGGCGTACTAGTGGTGGCCAGGTGCAGCCAGGAAGGCCACGCCAGAGAACTCCTGGCTTGCACCACCAACGAACAACACCAAACGATCCCCGAACTTACTCCGGCCCAGATGCAGGCACTGGACGGCTTGACCAACGACAAGAAAAAGACAAAACGATTTGTCGCACCACCGTTTATGTTTGGATCCAAAGCTGTGTACTGCTGGAGTGGGCAAAAGCCTTCGTGGTAGAAAAGTGCCGTGCGATTGTATGGGCTGTCGTTCTGTGTAGGACATAGATGGGACACACGGGAGAACGATATCCTACAACGTGCTACGGCCAGAGCTTCCACTTTAGCTTGGAGCACCACGAGAGACTGGATCACATTCGATACTACAGAGAGAAGATAGAATCGAGTACTTCACGTTCCCAGCTGAAAATGTAAGCGGTTGAAAAAGATTTTTTCGAGAATAGCATAAAATAGAATCTAGTATCTAACGAATTCGAAGGGAGCAATCCGGAAGACAATCCTGTATTTCGTCCTACATCAGGGCACCATTGCCACTCATGGGATCGGCACCGAAATTGAAAAAGGCGAGAAGGCCTACCTGGCTGAGAGCTACCACGGCGAGGACTCCGATGGCGGCACCGGGCAAGCCACCCCCGCCCTCGGTGTCCTCGATTTTCTCGTTGTACCTCTTGGGCACACCAATGTTGAAATCCTCTCCAAGGTACTGCTTGGCAATCGCCTGCGCCTCCTCCTCCCGTCGATCGCTGGAGCTCGGCGGGACGATCCGGACCCCCGGCAGAATGTTTCGGAGCCGCTCTTCCTTCCGGACGGCGTCTTCGTACAGTCGTAGGGTTTGCTCTATTTGTTCGGGGGCCACTGTGCCCTCACCGACCTCCCTTGCCTTTAGGTCGCGGACCTCTTCCTGGCGCCGCTTGCGTTCCTGAACTGCGTCCTCCACCTGGTTGGTCCGCAGTATCAGAGCCGAGAAGACGGCCATGATCGAGACAAACGTCACCAGGGCCGGCACGTTCAGAATCGGTTCAAAGACAATGGGTTCGAAATCGCTAGAGGTATCGAAATTGGCAATGGGCACGGTAGTGGGAGTTGTGGAAATCGAATAGTCTCCCGCCGGCGAAAGAAACAGATCCGTCTGGGCTCCCATAGTTCGCGACGAAAAGGGGGGCAACCGTTGCCTCTGGCGTTTCGTGCCATGTTGGCGATCTCCAAGATTGCCAACAAAGGCGGCTTGAGAATGAATCTTCATGGTGCCTTTTTGTACCGAATGGCCAAAGGAGTCAACTTTTCGGCTGTGATACGAGTACGTACTCGTGCGACGATATTCTCTCTGTCGGTCAAGTCCTCGAACGCCAAAGACAGAACAGAAGGTTTCGTACTTGTTACAGTACTTCGTACGTTCAGTACTTCACATTATGAGAAGAATGATTCAGTCAAAAGGGTTCTTACAAAGTTTCGAAAATCGTGTTCGGCACACTTTGAGAGGAAAATGAAATCCTGAATAACTAGTGAAATGACCTTGCTCTTTTCCTGAAGTATTTCGAGAAAAAGTAATAAAAACTTTTTCAGTCGCTTCAATCGTGGTTTTGAATCTCGGTATGACTTAAAACTCGTCCTCTGTGCGTTACGGTACCATACGTACGGACGGTTAAGTCAAAAAAAGGCCAAGTGCAAAATGCATCGTCGTTCATCGTCGATCGCTTGTCGTTTCTTTTTTGAACCTTCGGTACCAAACGAAGTAACTACCGTATCAGAGGGTTATGCCCACAGATTTTCAAATACAATTAGACCGAATACGAACTTCGAATAGTAACCGATCAAAACGTTTAGCGGTAATCAATAGAAGACACCAGTGTCTATCGAAGAATATCTTCTCTGCTCGAGGAAAAGAATACTACTCAGAGACTGAATGAAACAAAACCGGAACAAAACACCTCACTGAATATACCAGTAGGGCAGGGCGGAATCCAATCCATCCATCGAGCAGGCAACAATAAACACCGGTGCACACACAGCATATCCAAGCAGTCGATAGCGGCATCGAACAGGGTAGAAAAGAATACATCACACCACATCGCGAACCATGTCCGGACAACGCGGCGGATCGCGGCTGCGGCAGGCCTCGATGAAGAATTTCAATCCCCGGCTGATATTTTCCCAGATCGTGGCCCTGCAGTGCTTCCACTACTTGTCTCTGGGGCTGCTCGTTCAGATCAATCATGTTTTGTACGGCCAATCGGTGACGGTCGACCGGATCTTCACCGACGAATACCTAAAGGTGTGGCACGGTGGTTGGCAGGACGCCTTTGCCGTCTTTTTCTCCTATGCGGTGGTCGGGTACGTTTTGTGTCGTTGCGAATCAAGCGTGGAGGGGCTCCATGAAACATTTATTTGTGACCCCGCCATCGAGAAGGCTGATTGTCTTTGAAGGTTTTGTGCCGTGCTACCTCTGGCCTTCACTAGTCATGTTTTGTTCGTTTTGCAAGGGAATATAATTCTTTGCTGGATCGGTCGCTTTTGTACTGGAAATCGCTCCGTCGCTGTTTCGCTTGTCTAACATCGTTCTCTTCTTCTTGGATCGTTGCATTGGAATCGTTCCACCCGTATCTTGCTGTGCAACCAACGAAACAAATCCCATCTTATCACAAAAACTCCACTTTGCGCACCTTGCACAGCTCCTTTCTGATGGCAATCATTGTTGAAAAGTCAAAGAAATGCCTGGATTTTTCCTTCACGTTGTTTGTGGTCCATCTCTTAATTGTTTGTGCCTATGATGGTTTTCCTTCGACGTGGGACTGGTGGATTGTCCACATATGTTCCATGGTAACCATGGTAGTACTGGGGGAATATTTGTGCGCCCGGCGTGAAATGGAAGACATTCCTCTCCTGCAACTGTAGCAGGGCTGCCAACCGTACCACCAACTCACACAGTTGCGATGGTGGCCGGCGAACGAGAACTGTAGCACGACAAAACGCACACCGGGTCGATGGGATAGACGATGCAATACTCTTACAACACACTCTGCTTGCAACTATATATTAAAACTTAAACTAGATGTACATTTACAATTGGCACAAAACCAACAAAAGTCCTCTGTTTGAAAGCAGGAATCCTCGTGCCGCAAGACATTTCCCAAAGCGCCATCCGTTGCACTGTTTCGTGCCGTGTCCCATAGTGTCCCGCACGAGACACGGGGAACGACCACGGCGTCACCGGCCCTTTCGCCACAGCCTGTGCTTCCTCCAGACGTAGGCGCACTCCTCGTGCACAATGGCGTGCCTCCGGCCGAGCGCGTCGAGGGAATCCCTGTCGTAGCCCCCGCCGACGACGGCCGCCACCGGAATCCCGAGGGAGACGCACCGGTCCAGGACCCACCGGTCGCGCCTCCGGATCCCGCCCTCCTCGGAGAGGTCCAGCCTCCCCAGCTTGTCGTGCTCGTAGACGTCCACGCCGGCGTCGTAGAGGACCAGGTCCGGGCGGACCTCCGCGATGGCGCGATCCACGCTTTCCTGCAGTGCGGCCAGGTAGTCCTCGTCGGAGCAGTGGTCGGGCAGGCCGACATCGTAGGTGCTGTTGTGTTTGCGAAACGGGTAGTTGGATTCGCAGTGGATGCTCAGCGTGAAGAGGCGCTGGTCGCTCTCCCAGAGCGTCGAGTACTGTGCCGTTCCGTCGCCCTGGTGAACGTCGCAGTCGATCACCAAAACCCTATCGACACGGGTGCCATCAGTATGCAACGCATCGGTTCCGTGGGTTGGGACCGGGTTGCCTCCTTTCTGCAGAGGTGGTTCGAAATCCGACGGCGAGTCACCGTCGCCGCCATCGCTCGGGACCATGGAGGACGTCGTCAGCAGATCGGCGGCAATGGCCAGGTCGTTCAGGATGGTGTACCCGGCCCCTCCCTCCGGATGGGCATGGTGCGTCCCGCCGGCCAGGTTGGCAGCGATTCCGTGCTGCAGGGCGAGCCTCGCGGTGAGGACGGTTCCGGCGATCTCGAGGACGGTGCGCTCCACGAGCTCGGGCCGGTGCGTCTGCTCTCGAAACCCGATGGTCCGCGCCTCCTCCCGCGTGAGATTTCCCCTCAGAAAGCGGTGGCCAAACTGCGCGCTTCGATCCGAGCCGTCCTCGTTGTTGTTGTTGTTGAGGAGGTCCAGCCATTCCTCGATCGGAACGTCCACAAAGTCCGGCGGCCGGAAAAAGTCTTCCCTGGAACGCACCAGCGGGCGTGGCAGGTTGGAGGTCGGAACGGTTTTGGACGTCGTCGTGAGCAGCGCGTGGGCGATCCTCTCGAACTTCATCATGGGAAAGGTATGGTTGGGTGGCCAATCGGGGACCGACGAGTACCCGTCGTGGTACACCAGCGGAGCGTGGAACCGATTGGCCGATGGATCCAGCCCCGGCCGCGAGGCCTCCATCAAACCGGCGAGGGACTTTTGCGCCCGGAGGATTTGGTCTCGGCGTTTGGGTGGTGGGGAGGAACCCGGTGCATGCCCTCGCTGGTGGGGTTCCTCGGTCGACGGCGTTGCTGCGTCGCAATTCCTTGCCGATCGTTGCAAGGGGGAAACCAACGGTGGCGATGCCGAGTGGCGAAAGGAACTGGACCACCACCGATGGCTTCTTCGACATGGCGAAAACGCAAATCCTTTTGGCGCCGATCGCGACAGAAGGACGACGACCGCCATTTTTGAAACCACCGACGACACCATTGTGTGGCGCTTCTTCACTGCCTCGGCGTAGTAAGGAACTCGATCAGGATTCGGTTCGATCAATCGGCTTCGCTCGTTTGCTTGCTGGTTCTCTTGGATTGCTTTTCATTCCAGTGATGGCCCATTGACACAGAAGAAATCAATCCGCAATCTGTAGCAGATCACACCTATTTCAATTCAACTGGGAAGTTCGTACGGTACGATTCTCTCGTCGTGTGATGAAGGAAAGAAATTTGAAATTTCCCCTGTCTAGTCACCATCGGAATCTTTCCTTTTGATACTCGAACGAGTCCATTTCGATTTACAGAGGTCGACCCAAACTCAAATGGTTTGACCAATCAAAAACAAAAGCTAGGCAATGGATTACTTCGATCCGATGACGCTTTCGAAAACACGCATGAAATTGATGAGAAGAAAATCTGTTCGTTTTATGACTACCGTACTCCGTACTTTGTAGTACCGGTAGTAGAGGCGCATAGTTCTGCCTACCCTTTGTGCCAACGACACGAAAACTTTAAAAGCATTCTCGCGCCGCTCTCTTTTCTCCACTACTGTACTACCCAGGTGAAAAAGTTCTAGGTTCGAAACAAACCAACAATCCATCGAGCGAATCAGTATCTAACAAAGCAGGCAACTATGAAAACAACCGCAGGCCGCCTTTTGCACGGGTGCCTCCCGATTGCGATCGCGGTTGCCCTCCTCGGGCTCCTCTCCGGTGCCGCGTCCTTCCGGCCGGCCGCGGTTCCCTCGCGCCGGGGGCAACAGCGCCCGCTGGCGGCGGCAACAACGGGCACCGGGGCGACCCTCACCGAGGAGACCACATGGACGATGCGCATGAACCTCGAGAACCTCCCGACGGAAAAGGGCAAGCGCACGAGCGGGATCTATGTCGTCCAGGCCAAGTTCATCGAGGAAGAGGGATACGAGCCCCCCCAGGGGCTCCTCCAGCAGGTGTTTCCGGGGCAGGAAGCCTCCGCGAGCGAAGACGGCGAGGCCGCGTCCACGGTCGACACGCAGATGAAAATTGCTTCCGGTCGGTGGACCCTTTCCGAAGACCCCGAGGACCGAAAGGACAGCCTTTGGTACGTGGAAAATTGGGTTGTTGTTCGTTGCTTGCACGATTTGAAATCCGCCGGACGGTGCGATTGGACCCGGACGCATGTGCACGATGTTTACGGAACGAACGAACTTCCGATCTGACAATTCCACGTTTTCTTCGTTTTCAAACAAAAAAGGATCTGGGGGCTTTTCAAGGATCCCCTCTACCCATTTTTGCTGCTGCAGTTCGAGGTCGAGGAAATGGCGCTGCCGGGAGAAGAAAAGGACTCCATCAAGCCGTTCAAGCTGTTTGCACAGATCAACCACAAGCGGGAAGACGGCGAGGTGATCCTGGCCTCGGTCACGGATCTCACCGTTCGAGAGAAAGAGACGTACAAGGCCGACCCCTTCGGAGCGGCGAAGATCGATTTGTTTGAAAACGTGGTGGTTGGAAAGCTACAGCTGCAAGCGCAATAACAACGATCGAGTGGGATCGAAATAAATAACAGAACGCTCAAGGCTGTTTTCTCTGCCTTTCTATAAATTAACGTTCGTCGTGTGTACCTATTTCCCTTTTGTTTTGTGACGAGAGATAGTTGAAGTGACAAAAACAGGATTTGATGCTTGTTTTCCTGCCCGAAGCGAAGAACGCTTGCACAACAACAATCCGAAGTAGACCGCCAGGGATTCAAGCAGGCAGACGGTACCGCGACTTGTGTTTGCACGGGCAGAATGGCTGTGCAATACGGACACGGAGTTGTCGCTAGGCATCGTGCATCAAATGTCGTCGTCGTCGTCATCCTCGTCGTCCGAGTCCAGCGCGTATCGCTTCCTCTGGATCTGGATTCCGTGGGAGGCACCCTCCGACGACCTCGCGTCCTGTCGGTTCTTCCGCTCGAGAATCTCCACCAATTTCGCCTCGTTGATCTTCCCGGGGAGCTTGCCCTGCATCGCCATGGAGACGATCGTGTTCTCGATCTCGGCGGCCTTTTCCGGCTTGACCAGCCTGATCCTCCCCAGCCGGGCCAGGGCCTGCAGATCCATGGCCTGTTCCAGGATCATCTGCTTCTGCTCCTGGATCGCCGCTTTCTTGAAGTCGGCCTCGCTGCCTCCGGGACCGCCCCCGCCGTTCGGGTTGACCTGCGTGAAGCCGTCCGGGAGCTCGTTCGCGCCGACGTGGGCGGGGGAAAACTTGTCCATTGCGGGGGTGGGGTTTCGATGCGTTGCGTTCTCGGGTCGGGGTTCGTGCTCTGTAGGGAAGCAGCAGTGCTTGGGCCGCGCCGTGTCGTATCGTAACTTGTCGTGTTGTGTTGTGTCGTGTGTTGTGGAAGATGCAAACACAAACACGAACTGTCGAATTGAAACTTGGGGTTCTCGTCGTTTCACCGTCCGAACAACAAATGCCATCGAGGATCGAGGCGGAGGCTTTCGCTCATTTTTTACAATGAAAATCCTACCTACGGTATGTATGGTAGGTATCGTATGTATCGAACTGCGTACGGTACGTACTTCGTACGCTGGCAAAAGCTAAAAAATGTCCAGGAAAGCACCGGTATTTGCGAAGTACGAAGCACTTTGTTACTACAGTACTGAAGTTGGGCGGTCAGTCATCAACAATACCAGCAGGAATAGTAGTAATAACAATAATATTATCTGACCTCTCTCCTCTTTTTGATGATTCGACTACAGAGTTTACTAAAATGAGGAGGGGATGAAACGTAAAGGAGGAATGATGTTTGCAGATTCTTTTTGGTGGTGCTGCTGCTGAAGAAGGGGAGAAAATACAAAATTTGCAAACTAAAGAAATAGAATTGAGTAGCAAGAAATAGAATTGAGAAACTTAGTTGAGCGCTCGCTACAAATCTTAGCTACTATCATAGTTTTTCGACTTTTTTGATTTTGTAATGATCTATCTAGAGATTGGAGTAACCCATACTTGATCTTTATAGCATCTAGAGTTTGAGTCAGGGTTACCTTTGCCTTCTTGGGTCCATGTTGCAGCCGTAGTTCCGTCTGGGGTCGTTTCCCTGCACGGGGGCTCCGATTCTCGGGTCCGCAATGTTGGGTTGAGGCGGCGGCAGCGGTGGCGGAGCCGGCGCAAATCCGGTTGGGGGTGCAGGTGGCGGCTGGGTGGATATTATGCCCTGTGGGGCAAAGGCCCCGGGAGCCGGGTGCTGCGGTGGGCCGGGCAGCGCACCCTGGGGAGCAACGGCCGCGGGATTCGGGTATTGCGGTGGAGGCATGGCGGGCACGCCCTGGGGGACAAAGGCCACGGGAATCAGGTGTTGTTGCTGCTGTGGCGGCGGTAGAGGCGGGGCGGGGACCCCTTGGGGCACAAAGGCTATGGGAGCCGGGTGTTGTTGTTGCTGCTGCTGCTGCGGTGGCGGTAGAGGCGGGACGGGKGCCCCCTGGGGCACAAAGGCTACGGGAGCCGGGAGTTGTTGCTGCTGTTGCTGCTGTGGTGGCGGTAGAGGCGGTAGAGGCGGGACGGGTGCCCCTTGCGGTGCAAAGGCCACGGGAGCCGGGTATTGCAGTGGCTGTGGCACCGGTGGTGGTGGCGGCGGCGGTGGAGCGGGTGCGAGCGGAGGTGCAAACCCCGCGGGAGCCGGGTACTGCGGCAGTGGCGGGGCGGGGGCCGCCTGGGGTGCAAACGGCAAGGGAGCCGGGTGAGTCATGGCCTGTGGTGCCGGTGCTCCCTGGGGTACAAACACCGTGGGAGCCGGCGGCGGCGGCGGCGGTGGTGGAGCCGACACGCCCAGAGGCGGAAATCCCATGGGAGCCGGCTGTGGCGGTGGAGGCGGCGGTGCCGCAATGTTCGGGCCACCCATCGATGGATATTGTGGCGGCAGGGCTGGCGGCGGCTGCGGCGGAAGGTTGTTGTTGGGCGGGTATGCCTGTGTCTGGGCCTGGGGATTGGGCAACGGCGCCGATGCCTGGGAGGCCTGGGCCACCAGGCTGTTTGGGTTGTTCTGGAAAAACGCCAGCTGGTCCCGGAAACTCGATCCCTCGGCGGGAGGTGCCCGTGGACGCGGCGCGGGTGCTTGGGGAGGAGGAGGTGGTGGTGGTGGAGCCGGTGGGGTCCCCACGAGCCTCCATTCCTTCACGGGAGCAAAGTTTGTCTTTCCTTTCTTGCCCTTCCGGAGGATAGGCACAGAAACGACGGCATTCGTATCGCGGGCGTGCTCCACCAGGTCTTTCCAGTAGGGATTGACGACAATCGATTTGCACCTGGCAATGACGAAAAGAAAGTGTTTCGCCCTCGTCAGGGCAACGTTCATTCGCCTCACGTCGCTGAGAAAGCCGATTCCGCGGCTTCCGGCGGCTCGGACGGCGGAAAAGACAACGATCTTGGCCTCTCGCCCCTGGAAGGCGTCCACGGTGTTCACCTCGACAAACTGGGCGTAGTTTTTCCCGAGGAGGTCGCCGAATTTCCTCCGCAGCAAACCCGCCTGCTGCGAGTACGGGGTGATCACCGCTACGCGCGAGGCCGCGGACGCCCCGTCGGTGATTTGCTTCAGCGACTTGTACAGGTAGACGGCCAGATCGGCCTCCGTGGAGTTGGACAGGCTCGTGCCCCCGCGTTCCTCTTTCGAGTCCAGGTCGAGCACCGTGAAGGGCCGAAAGGCGGGCAACCGCGAGGTGATGGCCTCCACGAGCGGGTTTCCGTACCCGGCTTTGGACACGTTGGGACCGTCCTTGAGGGCTCCCTTGTAGAAAATGTGCCTCGGAAAGTGGGAGATCTGGGGGTGCATCCGGTATTGCTCGTCGAGCATGTAGACCTTCTCGCCCGCTTCCTCGAGCCGCTGGAAGAGACTCCGGTCGTACTTGCTGTTTTTCCCCGAAACGTTGAAGATCGTCGCCGGCAGCTGCTGGGGGTCCCCGACCATGACGCAGTGGCGGGACCCCAGCTGCATCGCCGCGAGCGTGGCCGGCTCGACGCTCTGAGCCGCCTCGTCCACCACCACGACCTCGAACTTGTCGACGCCCTCGAGGGCCCTGTTCCCGGCGGTCCCGAGGGTCGTCATGACGATGTGGACGGAGTTCAGGACGTGCATCTCGAGGTTTTGCTTGACCTCGAAGTGCCTCGCCCCGGCCCCGATCGATCCCTTGGTGATCGTTGCCTGCTCGAGATTGGTCTTGATGCGAAAGTAGGACTCCACGAGCTTGACGGTCCGGCCCATAAAAGCGTGGTACTCCGGCATGTTCCGCGGGTGGAACTGCTTCTCGCCCGGTTCCGGGGGGGGAGGGCATTCGTAGGTGGTCGTGTGGTCCTTGTGGTTGACGAAAAAGACCCTGCCCGTCTCGTCGAAGCTTTCCTCGTCGACCCGGATTTCCCAGTCCTTTCCCAGTGGCCACGGCGAGGCGTTGGTGATGGCGTGGATCCTCTTCCGGCACTTCATAATGTCGGTGGTGATGCGCTGGAGTTCCATCCGGAAGCCCGCGATCGAGTTTTCCAGCTGCAGGAGGTCCGAGGTTTCCGACAATATCTGGTCGACCTTGGTTTCGAGGGCCACGTCCTTGACCGCCGCCGACTGCCCCACCCCGATCCGGGTGATGGAGGGGTTGTACCTCTGCCCCCTGCCGTCGATGAAGCCGTCCTCCATGATCTTGAGGATGACGTTGTCGACCGCGGCATTGGACGGGGCACAGACCAGGAGCCGGGGTTTCGCCCTGCGGGCAATCTCCAGGGCCGCCTGCCGGTTTCCGCTCTGGAGGGCGACGATTTTTCGGACCTCCTCGTAGTACTTGTTGAACTGGCGGATGTGCAGGGCGTTGAGGATGTTGACCAGCGTCGTGGTCTTTCCGGTTCCCGGCGGCCCCTTGATCAGCGTAAACCCGCCGTCTCCGTACCCCTGGGAGGAGGCCGAGATGGCCGTGAGCTGGGAGGGATTGAACTTGCGCCGGGCGTATTCCGTAAAGCCCTTTCCCAGGGCCTCTACACCGCCCATCCTGCGGAGGAGGGAGTCCTTGTTGCTGCGGCGGGGATCGGGCCTGCCGTTTCCGCCGGTCCGAGCCTTCTTGCGCTCGGAGGGCTTCGCCTCGTCGCCGTTTTGCTTCCCCGCGGCCCGGAGGTCCGTCCCGAAGAGGTAGCTCTTGAGGGGGATCGTGTCGACGCTCGAAAGGGCGGTGAACTCCCGGAGGGCCGTGATGTTGCAGCCGATCTTGAAAAAGTACATCTGCGATCCCCCGCTCCCGGCCTTGCCGCCGGAGCTCCCCACCCGGGCCCACTTCCGCTTGGACACCCTCAGGACGAGCCCGTGCAGATCGTTCCGGTGGGCCTCGGTGTGCCCGACGATGCAGGCGTGCCGAAAGACCTCCGATTCGGGATCCTCCGCCGCCAGCTTCGGCCCCCCGCCCTGCCGGCCCCCGCCGCTGCCCCGGAAGAGGAGGTTCTCCACCAGGTCCTTTTTCTCGACGGGGACCAGGCAGCAAATGTCGTGGGGGAAAAAGTGGTGCCGGCCCTGCGGGCCCCCCCGCCCCTGGTCCCGCGGCACCCGCAGGACGAGCTGGCAGGAGTCGCCCACACCCCCGGAAAAGTCCGGTCCCTGGACGTGCCTCCCGGCCCTGGCGGTGGCGGGCTCGACGGCCACCAGGACCAGGGGGGAGGCGTTCCGGCCGCCCCTCGATTGTCCGCACTCCGTGACAATGTCCGAGAGGATCTGGGCCCGGCACTCGGCGAGGCAGAGCGGGGCCCAGACCGACACGTAGTGCCGGGCGTTGACAAAGGTGTCCGGGACGACCCCCTCCTGCCGGCCGGGCTCGTCGCCCCCGCTTCCGTGGGACCGGCCGCCGTCCAGCTGCATCCGCGCCAGCTGGCCCACAAAGTCCCACTTGCGGATGTTCTTCCAAAAGTCGTCGGGGGTGATGTTGGAGGTCGCCAGCCCCGCGGACCAGTCCTCCCTGCTTGCGGACGACGAGGACGCGGCGTTGTGGACCAGGCTGGCCAGGCGCTTCCGGGCGGGTTTTTTCGGTTCCTCGTCTCCCTCGGCGTTTCCCGTCGTCGCCTGGGGGGCGGCGGGCGGCTTGTTCGGTGGCGAGGACGACGACGACGACGACGCACCGGCCGTACTTTCGTTGCCCCCGCTTCCGCTTTCGCTTCCTCCGCCGTCCTCCCCGAGTTTTCCCATTCGTTGCTGCTTGGCCTTGGCCCGTGCCTCCGCCATGACGGAACTCACGGACCGCCGCTTGAAGGACTTGTGGATTCCCATGACCACTTTTTTGGAAGCAGCGGTGGTCCCGCTTCCAGGCGGACCGGCCTTGTCCGTTCCCCTGTCTCTGGTGTTGTGGTTGCTGTCTTTGTTGCCTTTGTTGCCTCCGTCCCTGTTGCTTCCGGTGAGATCGATGATCGGGGAGGAAGTGGAAGGATTCCCGGAGGACCTCCCGCGGACGCGTGGGCGCTTCGCGGCAAGGCCGGTCGAAGAACCGGCGGTTGCGGAGTTTCCTTTCGCCCCCGCCGCCGGCCTCCTCTTGGCGGCCATGATGGCCGCGAGTTCTTTCTGTCGGGCCAGGACGTCGCGTTCCTTCCGACCGGGGGGCATCCTTTCGTCTTTTGCTCTCTGTCGTGTGTGTGTGTGTGTGGCTGGCTGGCTGGCTGGGTTTGTGTGCGTGCGTGCGTGCGTGCGTGTGTTTGTGTGTGTGTGTGCCTTCGTATGGCCTCCGGTGTTCGATGGGGCACCTCCTTGTGTCGGACAAGCACCTGGATCCACGGATCGATGGCAACAAAGAGAACAACAAAGCCTTCAACGCAACAACAACAACAACAACAACAACTTGCTACCGTACGGTACGTACCTACGTACGAATACTCGTACGAGTACGATTTCTCGTACTTTTCGTTTCGTTCCGTTTGGTTCCCACACTGCCCCTGTGAGTCTAAATCACGAGTAGATAGTGAATAAGCTCACTCTTTATTGTAAACACGTACCGCAGTTATGACACTTCGTACAGTAAAGAGCGTAAGTACATTTCAAAGGTTATGAGGACACAAACCAAAAGGAGTTGAAAAAAAGGGGGATCAACGAATTTCTTACAATCACGCGTAGTTTATATTGTATTGTAGTCATCTTATGTATAGTACGTATGTTCATAGTAAAAGTACGTATTTGTATCGCTGTACAGACCGCGGAATAAGTGAATAAAGAACCATCTGTGCAAGTGAGATCAAAAAATGAATACTACTACTGAAAAAGAAAGAACACGATCGAATCATCAATGAATCACACTCGAACAAATACTGTAATGTCATTATGGACTTGTACGTGCGTACTAGAAATCGACTACTTATGGAATCTAATTTACGGTATTTGAAAAGAGGTATATACAGTTTCTACAGATCCAATTCTTCAAGTCAAATTACGAAAAGCACTTGCAGTAATAAAAATAGTGAAAGCATTTTAAGTACACTTCCTTACCAGAGTACATACGGTACGCATGTAATGAAACTACAGTACAGTAATTTATAGTGCTCTACGACCCTCAGTTCAACGAACAGGAACCTGCACCAGGGTCTGTCCTCTTGTCGATGTCGTGCCAAAAATGAATGATACAGCGAGGCGATGCGATGCTTCATACACATTCATCGCTATGATGAAAAGGAGGCGTGAAACTATTCTTACGGGTTCCATTGGAAGAACGATAAATGGAGGGCGATCGCCTTATATCGTTAGAAACGGTGGCGCAATAGTTTCGAATACTTCCGTTTCGTGTTTTTAAGAACATTAATTTTTAAGAACATTAAAGGAAGATACTGCACCATACGGTACTTTACCTTACAGAGTATGACGAACAATAACTTCGTCTTTCCGCATGCAGTTTCGTTCATGACCCCTGGTCTCGTTAACCTACACCAACCTGTTTTACCGACTAATCGTACGGGTATGATACCTTACTTAAGAAACGCTCGTAGTTTTGTTCCAAGTACTTCTCATACCGTACTATAAACAATAATACAGGTGGTAGCCGCTACCCGTAGTCCTGCGTCCTCGGCTTGGTCGAGTTCAGAAATTAATTATGGACCACTCGAAAAAACGATTTTCTGTGAACCACTGCTTGTGTGCCAGGAAATGAATGGCAAGACGTGGGAACGGTTGTTCGTGGTCGCGAGTGCGAATCTGTACTGTACTTCACTTTTTTTACCATCGCGCCGTCATCGCAGGTCTACCGTATCGTACGGGAAGGCAGCATTGTCACACCCCGAGCAGCACCATCCGTCCGGAGAGAAAAGAACACGCAACGGCGACGCACGACGCACGACGCACGACGAGCAACACAACCAACCAAGCTAAGCAAGGCAGCAACTAGCTAACACGAAAAACGAGTGGACCCGACACCCTCCAACGAAAGAAAAGGAAACCAAACAAAACGAAACGAAGCGCAGCCCTTTTGCCGTCCAGAATGTCCGCCGACGCCGAGTCCACCGACCGACCGGAACCCCCGTCCAAGAAGAAACGGGGGGCGGACCACCAGATCACCAAGGACGACTACGACTACGACCCCGACGACGAAGAAAACGACGGGGCCGAAGCCGACGAGCGGCTCAAGCAGGGCTTCTCGAGGGCCCCGGACGACGTCCTCAAGAGGCGCAAGATCGTTCGGGTGAAGCGGCCGTCCGCCGCACCACCCCCGGCGAAGGTGCTTGCGGCAGCCGGGCCTGCCTCCGGAGCGAGCGGGAGCAACCCCTTCGCCTCCACGAGTCTCTCGGCGCCGTCCGGCAACAACGGCAACACCAGCGGCAACGGCAATCCCTTTGCCGGGGCGAAGCTGGTTTCCTCCGCTCCGGATTCGGCTGCGACATCGGACCCCGATCCAAATCCAAATCCGACCGGGACCAAGGGCGGCGCCGAGAAAGAAAAAGAAACCGGCCCGGCCAAGAAAAAGGTCTTTGGCTTTGGGTCGGCCTCGGGCTTTGGCGCGGCGTCCTCGGCCAACGGAACGTCCGGCTTTGGGAGCAGCACCGGGGGAGGCTTTGCCGGGGTCGGAAGCAGCGGTGGAGGCTTTGGTTCCTCGTCGGGCGGAGCTTCCGGTTTTGGATCGGCGGTTTCGAGCGGCGGGGGCGAGACAAAGGGCTTTGGGGGCTTTGGATCGTCCTCGGCGGCACCGTCGTCGCTGTCGAACTCGAACGGCGGTCCCACGAAGAGCCTCTTTGGAAGCACCGGTTCCTCGGGCATCTCCTTCAACTTTTCAAAGGCGGATTCTTCCGCGGACGCGAAGGGGAAGGACAACCCCGCGAACCTCCCGGACACGGACGACCTGGACCTGAAGACGGGGGAGGAAGACGAGGAAACCATACACAGCGGCCGGTGCAAGGCCTTTGAGTGGACGGTGCCGGAAGATACCGGCGCCGGAACCCTTGCGGAGGCCGGAGCCGATCGGGGCGATGCCCCGGAGCCGAGCAAAACCAAGAACCCGTCGGTCCGGTCCTCGACCCAGTTCGAGACCGCCATTTCGACCGGCGGCGGGGCGAAGGATTCGGAAGGCAAGGGGGGCCGGTGGAAGGAACTCGGAACCGGTCCCGTAAAGATCCTGCGGAGCACGAAACACAAGGACCGGCTCCGCCTGGTCCAGCGGCGGGAGTCCTCCAAGATGGGTCCGGCCACGAAGGTCATTCTCAACGCCCCGCTCTGGAAGGAATCCACCTGCGAGCGGGACCGGCAGGCCCAGCAGTACCTCCACCTGAAAACCATCAAGGACGGCAGGATGTCCCAGTTCCTCCTCAAGTTCCGGGAGGCCCATGACGCCGGGACCTTCCACCACCACCTGGTGGACCAGATCCCGCTGACCCGGCGGTGTTTCGTCCCCACCGGCGGCGGTGGGGCTTTGGCCCCGGAAGAAAAAAAGGACTAGCGGCCCCCGGCCGGCCGGCCGATCGACACCCACCAGAAGACCCACCACGCGCGCAACGAGGTTGCGCACGGGGCGGCGGGCACGGGGGGGG